AAGCGCAAAAATTGATAACAGCACCACTCCTCTCTCATGGCTGGCTACCCATTCAAATTGTGGCGAAAAAATTAAAGCACACAGAATAGGAGCAACAGGGAAAATAGAGCGAGATGCCCTCAAAAGAGTCGCACAGATTTGTCACAATGCTTTTGTGAACGCGTTGAAGAACCGGAGCTAACAAATGATTCATCGCCCCGTCGTACACCACATCACACTGGTATCAGATAAAGGGCCCATCGTTCCCCCATGTTGTATCCATCAAAGGGTACTACTGTGGGGAAAGCAGAGTCTTTATAGCAAGCAGCTCGCTTAGCCCTCCTTTTTCTCTGCCTTCTCGGTTTTCTTTCTTCCTTTTCCGTTTTTTCTCTGCCTTTTCCTATTTGTTCGCGTCCCTCCCCCGGCACGATGATCAAACTGGACGTTTTCAAATTGGCCAAAATGGGGCCGAGTAAGGGGAAGGGGCCACTGATCGCAAAGTACGCTCCTGTTGGGTTCAAGAAAGGATTCGGGGCTATCGGACTGGGAAGGCACACGAAAAAGGGTACACTATTGAACGAGGAGCGGACTTTCCGGGGAGTGGTATTTCACTTGCCCTTCCATCGATGTGCTGCTGTCCCAAGAGAGAGGCATTAACGTAATATAGGACAACCGCGATGCCCTCCAGAGGTGTGCTACATCTCATGTGCACACCTTTTTTTTTTTCTTTTTTTTTCTTTCTCCTTTTTTAGGCTTCTTCATTATTAACAAAATGCTGGTGCCCAACTTTCGCGTCCCAGACCTGAGCGATTGCAACGTAAGAGCGAGAACTGGAGGGAGAGAGAAAGAAAAAAGCCGATTTGTACCTCTGCTCACATTTTGGTGAAACGGCAATCTCTTTCGCAACACATGAGTGGAGACTGCCTTAAAAGTTCAATGATATGAAACATAAATAGGAGAAACGTGTCATATCGCGATGCCTTTTTCATCGCGTCCAGCATACGTCGCTCTATCGGATGAGTAGCTTGTCCTTTCCTTTTCTGAAACACTGTACACATTATTGGGTGCTACCATCTGCCTTTAACCTCCCTGTTAACGTAAATAACGAACGAAATAACTTCCTCTTCTTTTTTTTGGGGTGACCCTTCCTCTTAGCTGAAACCATATGTCTCGAAGAAAACGCCCCTCATCGTCATGAAGAAGCAGTTGGGCCCCCGCCGAAAAATCCTCAACTGAATCGCGGAAATCGTTCCCCTACGTTACACAGTTTTGGCGCCATTTATTTATCGCTCATTTATTTACCTTCCCCTTTGTGGTGATGTTTTTTTCTCCTTTCGAGCGCCCAGTACAGAGCGTCCTCACATGTATGTCCCCGTGGTGATTAAATTAAAGGCCACCGAGTGAATCGCAAATTTGAAACCTGTCAAAAGGTGATAAATGCCTGTTCGCATGCATGTGTACCGTTTTTTTTTTCTTTCTTTCTTTTTCTTTCTCTTTCTCTTTTTTTTATTTTTTCTTTTTTGTTTTTTTTTAAATTGCGTCCTTCCAACGCGTACCTCAGCAGAAAAAAAAAAACCGTGAAGCATACTATCAACACTGTTGTAAGGAAGCACATTAACGAAATGCACTGACCAAATGACTAAGCCCCTTTCGACGCAGGTAACGCACGAACAAAAACAGAAAAAGGGGTAGACCAGGAGGTCGCGGACCGCATGACGCTGCCAACCAGTCAAACGCCAATCAAACTTGTGCTGACGAACAGCAACCGGCACAAAAGCACCGAGGAGGCTTTACAATTCTTCTGCAAAGAGGAGGAGACACACCAGGGGAGAGGCATTTTCCATACGAGCCATGCTAACAACCCCGTCCGAGACGATGCGTATGAAACAGCGGAAGAACTTCTGGGAGAACTCCTCTACATAGGGGTCCTCATCAAGCACGTCAATAAATTACGTTCCAAAGAAAACACGAAAAAGTGGTTAAAACAGAACGCAAACTATCATGTCTATGTGGATATAGTACTCGTGAGTGGCAATGGGGTGGAAGTATCCGCATTGGCACATAAACTGCATTTGCAGGAGGAAAACCATTTCGATAGTGAACAGAGAAGAGTGCACAGGAGGGTGCTAGGCAGGAGAAGGGATTCACCTAACAACGGGAGGGACCCCACAAATGGGGCAAAACAAACCCAAGGGAGGAAAGTGCAAGCCAGTCTGACACCTCCGGGGGAGATTGCATTGCAGGTGGACGAAGACAGAATTTCCTTCCCACTAGATAACCACAAAGAGACAGGCGACAACATTGAAGACGTTCTGCTTGCAACGGAGGAGCAATACCAAGTGGAAGGGGTCATTTATTTTCTGGAGCTACCACTGACCATTGCTCAGAGGTATCTCAATAAAGAACTACTAGTAAAGGTGCAGCTGTGTGAAAGCTGCAATGTGGACAAAGGGAGAAGTGGGAACTCCTTCCTCAACGATAGACATGTGAATGACTTGAGAAGGATTTTCGACTATCCGTCGCTGCTGCTGAGCAACGTGCAGTGGTCGTCGACTCTTACGTCCGGCATGGCGCTCGAAAGGGAAAAAAAAAGGAAAAAGAAGAAGAGGAATGGGGAGAATGCAGAGAATGGCGGGGATAGCCGGGATGGTGGTTATGACAACGTTGGTGACCATAGCGACCATAGCGATGATGATGACGACGCCGACCGCGAGGGCAACCCCTTCCCGCACCACAGCGACGATGTCCGAAGCTTCCCGCCGAACGGAAACATGCACAGCATATGCAACGGCATCAACAAGCTGGAGGAACACCTCCACAGCGCAAGCTACGCAAACAGAGACTTCAAAAAAATAATCTTAACCAAGCCAATCGTTGTCACCAAGCCTCTCAACATAAAGTGTAGAGTAATGGAGCCCTACCTCTACCTCGAAATTGAGAATGTAACGAAACAGAATAGACTGCACATTCATGAGCTCTTTTCTAGATCGGTGAACATTGACAGTAGTGACACTTTTCCTTTTTCTCTTCTTCCGGAAGAGACCTACAGTCTCTATCTTCCGATTGTAAACTTCGTGCAGGTCCTCTCGCAGAAGAGTTCCCAAGACAGGGAAAGGATGAGGAGCTCCCTGAGCAGCTCTGTGCACGCTTCTGATGTGAGCAGTGGGCTACATAACACCATGCACGGTATCGATGCAGGTGCTTCCCTGTATAACCCCTTCTTCCTCGGCGCAGAGGGAGGGATCTCTCATCAGATGAGCAGACGCCGCAGTAGTGACGCACACCAGCGGGCAAGTCAACTTGCAGACGTGACGAAGCGATCCAAGAACAAGAATCAAATTTCATCCGTCCCATTCGAAGATCGGCATAAACCTTTGTCTTTCCACTTCCAAAGCGACAAGAGCATTATCACGCTTTCCATCAAATGGAGCATCGACGAGACTCCCGATAACTCCATATGGTCCCAGTACTGTATGGAGGTGGAGATGCCAAAACCGCACACCTTCAGCCTTGAAGTTTCCTTCGTAAAGGAAATCAATTCTTCCTCCGTCCTTATGGCCGTCTTCTCATTTTATAACCCCCACAACGAAGAGATAGACCTTCTCATCGAGATGAAAGACGAGAGTGGTGCCCTGAACAACGAGGTCCACACTTCGCTCATCTCCTTTAACTCGCTAATCCACGTGGGGATTATCAAACCATTTCAGCGCAAGTCGGTCAGCGTCCGCATGCTTGCCATTATGTTCGGGGTGCACAACGTCCCCTTCATTAAGATCATCAATCGGGTGAGCGACACTGCCTATTATGTTGACTTGGGATCCATCCTTGTCACGGAATAGTTTCCCGAACGCGGTCACCCGTCGGAGAATTTGAAGGAGTGAAAAGGGGTGCACAATGAACGGTGGGGGGCATTCGACTAGCAGCCCGTGTATGCTGTTACGAGTCCATTTTGTTACCCTCTCATTTTGTTCCTTTCCCATTTTGTGTGTATTTTTTCTTTTTTTTCTTTTCTGCTTTTTTTCACCCCCCCATTTGAATCGCCAAGGGGGAAGAAAAACTCCCGCAACATATGTCAAACTAATCGCCCCCAAAAAACTCCACTCTTCCAGGATGGAACACAAATGCTCACCATCACGGGAAAAAATGTGTACGGCGTGTCCCCCATAACGTAGACAAAAAAAAAAAAACCTCCCAAACGCTTTCCCACCATACAATCGATAAAAGCAACAGTTAGGAAAAACGGCCCTTCATCTGTTTCACCCCAATTCCCTTCGCCCATTTTGTTTCCCCATTTTGGCCTACCACTTCACAAAGGAACAAAATCCACGTACAGGCTTCTTCCCTTTTTCGACCAATCATAAGTGCTCATAATATAAAAATGACGTCTTACCAGAGGTTGTTTTTTCCCCTACTACTACTGTTCCTTGCTCTTCTTCACTACTTGTGCATCCCACTCTGCTCAAGCGAAGCCCCCAAGGGAGCCTCCTCCTCCCCCCTACGTGGCAGTTCCAACGATGCCAGTCAACATGCCCAAAAGACGAAACTAATAAACTCCCTAAAGAAAAAAGCCAACCAAATTAGAAAAATGTATAATGCATTAAACAGGAAAAACGTAAATCTGCCTCTTTACCTTTTTGCGAACGACAACGATGAGGAAAAAAGACAAGTACTGAAGGATCTCTTCTTGCGGGGGCATTTGGACTTCCTGCAGGGCCTCAACACCCCTTTGTCGAAATATTACCTATCCATGCGTAGCGCGCGGAGGGCGCAGCGGTAGGTCCCGTGTGACTCCCACCCCGCGTCACGAGGACTCTACGCGGACAACACGACGGAAAGGCGACTGGAATGCGACAGGAATGCGACAGGAATGCGACGGAAATGCGACGGGAATGCCATGGAGATACGATGCAAATGCAACGAAAATGAAACGAAAATGCGATGGAGATGCACAGCCAACACACCTCCCTCTTCACCCCTCTTAGCATGCAAGTCGAAGCCAAAATACGCAACGAACGGGATCTCATCAACGGTCTAAGCGTAGAAAATAAGAAAAGACACGGTAAGTTGGGGTACCCAAACGCGAACCCCTTTAGCAGGGGGCACTATTCGAAAGAAAAGAGAAGAAAATGAGCACTGCATTTGAGTGAACCGTGGAACTTCTTCAACATTCTTATCCCCTCCCCAAATGACCATGCAACTTCGCAGTCGAGGAAAAGCTCCGGGAGTATCGATTTTTAAAAGACAACCTTCTACGGCTATACTCGACCATAGGTATGGGCTCCGCAGTTAGAAGACCTCCACTCGCTTCTGCTAATATGCTGTGTGGCTCGTCTCTCATTCTCCCCCATCCAGAATGAGCCTGTTATAGTTGGTTGTTATTCCTTTGCTTCTATTCTTTTCTTCTTTTTTTTTTTTCTTTTTTTTCCCCCTTTCGCTTCATTCCTCCACCCATTGCAGAGAAGCGCTTTAAATCCGTGGACTCATTAATGGCCCGCTTGGACGTGAACCCGAAAAATTAAAAACAACAGAGGGTCGTATTAACCCCAAAGGTTCTGCCCCCAGTTCGAGGTAAACGTTTCAATCGCTTCTCCTCAGCAGATGTGTAAAAGCAGCACGAATTATCATTTTACCATTTTAAACTTTTTTGGAGGGTCTTCACTCGTTCAATAAGGGGCTGTTAAGTTGGCCCTCCCAAGTGGACACCTGCCAATGCATTGCCAATTTTCCCAAATTTTGTTTCTCCTCCTTGGGAGAGTTAAATGCATACGCATTGTTTACCCCCCTCAGAAAAAAAAATAAAGAAAATTCTCCACTGAAATGGGGCATTCAATAGCTCGTGGTTTTTTTTTTTTTTTTTTTTTTTTGTACACATTCGGCGTCGTCCCATCCGACATGTTAACTTCACTCCGCCTGTCTGCATGTGGGGACGAAACTCAAAGCGGGTTCGTATAGACGTGCAGATTACCCAGCTTTCTCCCAGTCAAGGTAATCTGAACTGCGGCTTCTTACGACGAAGTGCAAAGTTGGGGTCAGCTCGGATGAAATGGATGTTGGGATGAAACTTTTGTGCCTACGTCCCCTCCTGTTGAGCTCTTTTTAAAGAAAATTTCCAAACAGATTTGTAACCATATTTCCAGGCAGACTTCCAAACGGAAGTTCCCCCCTCTTGGGTAGCTCCTCTGCAGTGGAGTTCACCCGTATGAGGTTAAGCATCCACATCACCAGAGCGCCTACACTCATTCCTATGCTGCTAACACAGGGAAGGCATGCATAAAATCCCAATCGACTTATCGCCAAAGGGGGTAGGGGTGCATATACCATCCATTTGTATGTACCTTTACACATACAGCGCAAATAGAACCTGTCGCTCAGATATGAAGGATCCATTGGTGGTCCCCTTTTCCACATGCTCCTCCTTCTGGCTAGCTGGAAAAAAAGGGGGTCACCATTACAGGTCACCACGATGAACCCACGGGGGAGAGAAGAATATTCTCTTACCACGAGGTGCTTGTACAAACGCATATAATGCACTCAAGTCCTGCGTATTTATGTGAAGAAAAGGAGCAAGCTACAATACGCCGCTTAACTCGTGCGTTCACATCGGAAGTAATGCCCTTGGAGGGGGGGGGAGTGAAACTTTCGCAACTTGTACAGGAGGGAAGCGTAAACATGGGTAGGCCTACCTAGAGGATCCCTACGGATCATCCATATGTAAGTACGTGTTCTCGTTTCATTTCTTCACTGAGCCGGTGTGGAAACAGCACCCGCACCTACGGATGTAACCCCTTGCAAGGGTAATACCCCCCCTTTTACCCTACTAATATCGACATCACATCATGCCGCGTATATACCACTGTCATCACTTTTGCAAGATGCAAACAGTTTGACCGTACTTTACCATATTCTCGGCTGACGTGAGGTGCTCCACTTGGAATTTTTTCTTTTTTTTTCCCCCTCGTGTAGTTATCTCTAAATAAATAATGATTGTCCCCTGGAGTGATACTTCCCGCCGAGGCGCAAACCCTCTCTCTCTCCCGTCGCGGAAAAATCGACGTCGCCCCGCCAAATGAAGTAGAGCCAAAAGGGGCTTTGTATAATTTTTTCTTACCTCACTCCTACGTTAGGCAAACATATACCCATGTACTACACAGGTATATTATATACCCCATGTTTCGTCACCTCACTAACTCCGCTTTTTTTTTTTTCTTTTTTTTTTTTTTTTTTTTTTTTTTTTTTTTTTTTTTTTTTTTCTTGTGAACTGTGCCCTTTTCCCGCCCCCTAAACATTCCTCGGCAGCACGCCGTTAAACAGATGATACGTGCTGTCGATTCCCCTCCTCTTTTAACGCATCTCCGAGGGGGAGGGCGCAGCATCGGGTGTCCACCTCTGCAGTAGTCGGGCAGGTCAACGGTTTTGTTTTTCCTTCTCGGGGCAGGCCAGCCGTTTTTCCCCTTCATCCCGCGCCATCCACGCGAGTGAAGGAAAGAACCCCCCTCTCTCCCAGGGAAAAGCCCCTCCACAGAGCACCTATACCTGGAATGCGGCAAAAGGGCCTCCTACGGTGGCGCCAGAGCTTCGCACCTGGGGGACAGAGGCCTGAAAAACATGTAAGCAGTGCTTATTTCTCATAAAATATGACATGCATGTTAGTAATATTTTGTAGTGCCATGCGTGTATGTATAACTCACTACAACGGCCTTGTATCGTACAATTGTCGCTTTTCATTGCGTTATAACATGCCAATGTTGCTATTTCCTTTTCACCTTCACAATGCCATACTTTCGCCGAATTTGCGAATTTTAACAAAGCCTTTCTCTTGCATAGATATATGTACCCGTATGGCCGCAACTGTTGGTCGTACCCAAAGCTGCGCATAAATTAATTACGCGTTACTTTTTTACTCCCCTTTGGCTTCTTCTCGAGTGACGCGTCCGTAGCAAAGGTTTCTCCCTCCGAAAGGTTTCTCTCCAGTAAAGGTCTCCCGCCCGCAAAGGTCTCCCTCGCATATACGTATTGACATGCATACGTCGTACATTTAAAAAAGTGACATGTAAAATTTATAGCAAACGTGACATCATACCCCTCTCTCATGCTGCGTACCTTTTGGCACGTACAAGTACTGTATAAACTTATATTGCAATATATACGTTTTTTACGTGTGCGCAATGAAAGTAAAAAAAAAAAAAAAAAGAAAAAAAAGGCGTTTACACGTGAAATGAAAATAAATCACTTTTCCTTTTTTACTCATTTGATAAAGGAGATATTCCATCCCGTACTCCTTATGTAGTACACATACGACTTTCACTTTAAGTGACTTTTGCCTGGTAATTTTGAAAGCCGCTTTTCTTACGGGCGCTTGCGAATAGCAACATTTTTTGTAGTGCCAGTTTTAACGCCAGAAAAGAAAAAAAAAAGCGCCATTTGTATGGTACCGCGTGCTGAACAGTCAGTACGTACAAATATACGCGTACGCATTTGTTCCCTCTTTGCCATGTTTGAGATGCTAATGCTTTGCTATATACTCACCCGCGTAAATACCAGAGTTCTGTTCGCTTCCAACTTACCTTCACGCCGCACAAATTGCGCGAATACTTTTTTCACCTCCACGTACCCCGCGCCATCCCACTTCGACGCCAACTGCGCTAGCACAGCAGTAGCGTAGCACGCCTTTTTTTTCCCCGGCTGGAATTTTTTTTACCTTTTTACGTGATGAAATAAAATATTTACGCTGCCAGCTCTTAGGGAGGAAAAACAGAAATTAGCAAACGAAGCGAGGAAGCGGCGATGCGAAGCGAACAATGCTGATCGAGCAAAATTAAAGCATTTCAAAAAGCGAACAACGCAGACGGCCAAAACCGTCCAACCGCCACAACGCCAAGACGCGCAACTCAGTCAAGCGTTAAAACTAATAGAGTAAAGAAAGCAATCCAGCCAACCAGGCCAACCCGTGCTAGCTCTCCACCCAACTCGCCTTCCAATTTTCCACCCAATTTGCCAAAACACTGCAGGCGGCGCTCCTTTGCAGTAGTTAAAGAACACTTTAACGACCTACATACGGACCTTCCTCCGTATAATCGTAAATAGGGGTATGCGCGAAAGGGAAAAAAGCAACACGTTACCAACACTGGCCCAAAGGGGCAACAAAAAAAGGAAGCAGTCAGCCCCCCTTTGACACTGAAAAAAAACAAAAAGAAAAAAAAAATCTGGGGCAACTAATAAGTGCTGAGAACGAGGAAAACTATACATATACGTTGCACAGATACGTGGCCATACTTTATGCACATGTGTGTATGTGGCATCCCCCCGGAAGCCTACCATGAAATTGTTTGCATCCCCATGTGAACGCATCCATATGTAAGTACTTACCTCCTTGTCGCCCCTGGCTTCTTTCCCCCTACTAGCCCTGCTTAATTTTTTTTATTTTTTTTTTTTATTTCTTCCGCAACCCTCCCCGTTGTGCATCCACCTGAACCATTACACACATAAATATTTGGCAATTCATTTGTGATAACCAGCACCCGTGTTTTATACCAAACGTTTAAGACGATTGTGCTCTGTGTTCATACGTCCCGTCTTATTCTACGAGGCCGTAGGACATTTCTCCCGCCAGAGCACGTCCAGTTGCAGGAGGGTGGGGGAATGCTCAACTGAGGGCGAGAGAAAAGAAACGGGTAAAGCAACAGGCAAATTGACAAGCATAGTGACGGGCAGAGTGACGCGCAACGTGACCCACCCAGAGCACCCCCTAGCGCAGGCACAATTCGACACATTGGTGCAACGGGATGGAGGAAACCAACGTGGCCGAGGAAGTCGTGCAGGGAGTCGCACAGGAAGAGCACGCAAATGAGAAGAAGGGGCAAAATGACGAGAGCCCACCAAGTGGAGAGAGCGCCCCCAATGGGGTGAACGCCCCCAATGGAGAGGACGCCACTAATGGAGAAAACGCCGCTAATCTAGAAAAGACACTTACTGAAGAAGACTTCAAATACGACGAAAACAGAATTGTTTACACAAAGAATGAATTCCTATACGCCTACATTGAATTGATCCTGAATGAGAAGGGGCTGGGGGAGGACCACGACCTGCCTCTATGCAGCAACCAGTTTAAGTTCCCTGAGTTATTTAACGACTTAAGAAAAGGGGATGATGAAAAAAACCACTTGGGAGGTGAAGAAGGAGACAATGATCACAGCAAAAGTAACGCAATTGGCGATGAGGAAGATGGAGGTGTCTACAATAAGCATCACTACAGAAACTTCGCAGAAAGGGGAGGTTCTTCGTCAGCCTTTTTCAACAACGAAATTGACAGAGGAAGAATTAGAAATGACTTTTTCACCAGAGATGGAAACAACTTCATGAACAAAAATAACCTTCAAGATTCGACTGACTCGAACAATCCGCTAAATAGCATGAACAGGAGGAGCAACCATCTGCTGAAAAACAACAAATTTAGCAAATTCTTCAATGGAGGGAATGCAAGCGGGATGAACATTAGCGGTGGCAACCACAGCGGTAATCAGCTTTATGGAGGTTCAAAAAACCAGTTTGAGGCTGGCCTAGGGGAAGGAAGCAACCGTAACAGCTTCATCAGGAAGACGAATTTCCATGCGGATGGAAACAATCCCGCCTTCATGGGCCAAGACAATGCCGGGAATAATAACCCCATGGGAGGAAGTGGTGGCCACCTGGGAAGCAACACTGCAGCGAACAAAACTCTTTGGAGGGAGTACGATAAGGGGATTTCCTCGTGGAGGTCCTCCAAAACAGACAACAAGACAGACGAAAATGTGAAGAATGATCCAAAGCTAAGAGGTCCTTCCAGAGGGTTCAGCAAAAGTTTTCCCGACAATATGAAGATGACTTCGCCTTCCCCACAAAATTCGGATGACGAAAATGAAAATAATAACGACGTGGCTAGGAATATGAACAAGAGTAACTACCCAAACGACAGAGGACCAATGCACATCAAGAGGGAAGACATGTTTACCAACCACCCCTTTGGATACAAAAATTTGAATATGACTAATAACATGGGTCAAATGAGCAGCAGTGGTGCCTTTATAAACCAGTTTAACAGCCCCAGTGGTGGTTACGCTGCTGGAGGTGCCACTTCTTCTACTGGTGCTACCTCCGCTGCTGGTGCTTCTTCTGCTACTGCTTATAGCTACCACTTGGGAGTCAACTCCATGGGGCGCCATGCACAAAACAAGAACGACGGAGTACGTAGCAGCGCAACGGGTGCAGGAGATCCCACCAACAAAAGATCAGTGGAGAATAATACCCCTGGCTCGTTAAACCATTCGAGTGGGCAAAACAAAAATTTCAACTTTCCCTCCCCCACTTCTGCATTCTATGGAAATAAAGCAATTGGCAGCAGCAGTGGGCCCAAGAAAGGTTTCAGCGATCTGCACACCATGATGGGTACTAACGCTACGGGCAGTGCTGCAGCGTTCCTCGCACCTAGTGGCAGCATGGCAAGCAGCAACAATGTCAACACAGATGACGATTGGAAGATGAAGAAGTATAAGAAGATCCCCGCCAGTGGCAACAACCCAGAGCAGCACCAGCAGCTACAACCGCAACAGCAGCCGCGCATGGGGGAAGAGAAGGCCAAGAGAGGAGACGACCGAAATGAATTTGCCAATCTTTTTATGAACAAGGGTAACGAGTCCAGCAAGCTAAACATGCATGGCATGGGGTCCGTGCACGAAGTGAATTTGTACAACTATGCTGGAAACAGTGCCGGTGGAGCCTCTTCCCTTGCGGGAGGGGTGCACCCAAACGTGACGTACAAGGTGAAGGGCAGCGAAGTGGGCAAATCGACCAATCCAGACATGCTTAATAATGACCTGACGGATGGAAGAGGCAACCACAGCATGGACGAAATGAATAGGACTGGGGCAAATGACACATCCGCTGCGATGATTAACAGCATGGGGAGGAAAATCGGCAGAGGTGGAGCAGGAACGGCAGCCAACAACAACTTCTCTGCGTCCCACGAAATGGTGAGGGGTCCACCCAGCCACGCCAGCGGCAATGTAAGCGGCGGAAACAACCAGAACAGCATTGGCAGCACCCCCTTTAATATCAACCGAGGCGCGAAGGGAAACCAGAAAAGAGAAACCAAAAATGAGAAGCACGTATTGGAAGATGACTGGAGCAACATAAGGAGGAAATCCAGCTTTGTTGACAGCAAAAAGGCGACGGACGATTTCATGTGGCACAAGATGAGCGAGCAGTTTGATAAGAACAACAAAATATCCTTCGACTCGCTTTATCTCAAAACGGATCAGAGCGTCGCGGTCACCCTAAGCCGACGTCGAAATTATGATCACAGCAGTGTCGGGGGAGCGAACACTGGTGCGAAGAATGAAAGGAAGGACAGTGCAGAGGGTAGTAACCACACTCTTGGTGGCAACATTGGAGGTAACCTTAGCGGCCATGCCTTTCCTGCACTGAAGGCGAAGAAGGCAAACGATGGCTCCTTTCCGGCTGTTACACCCAACAGTGCAGCGTTAAAGTCGAATGAGCAGCAGAAGGGCGCCGCCAAGCTGAACACCTCGGCGGAGGACAAACCCGGCGATGGAAGCGGAAATAACAAACCAACGACTGAAAAAAGCAAAAAGAAGAAGAAGAAGGGAGATAAAGATGGTGCAAAGGGTGGAGAAAGGGGCGGTGAAAAAGATGGCGGGAAGGATAAAGAAAACGTAAGTAAAAACGGAAAGCAAAACGGAGAGCAACAAGGCAAACAAAACGACAAGGACACCCACCTCGCACAGGGGACGGAAGACCAAAACAGACAAATGAAAGCCCCCGGGGAAAATGTTAAAATGAACCCTAAGGACACAAGTAATGATAATATATATAATTCATTTCATGAAGAAAATAATTCTGCACTTCATGAAAGCAGCTACTATAAATTTTCCCTTAATGAAAAAAAATATGTCCATAAGAATAATAACCTTAACTGTAACCCTAACCATAATCCTAACCCTAATGTTAATGTTAATATTAATACAAATAAAAATAAAAATCTTAACGAAAAAAAGGAACTCATTTTTAATAAATTATATCATGTTGATAAAATCAATTTACAGGAAGAACATAGGGGAATGATGATGGCTGCCCAGAAATTTGATGAGCACGACCTGTGCAGAGAGTCCAGTCAGCAGCCTTACCGCGTCATGGGTGGCCCTTCCTCCACGCATCCGCGGCAACAACAGCAGCGTACCTATGAAGGCCTACTTCCAACGCACGGTACCATCATCGGAAAAACGGACCAGCGAAACTTGTTTGAGACCAATAACAATTCCAAACCCGCTTACCCCTTCCAAGAAAAGGAGAGCAGCAGCAGCAGCAGCCTGAATGAACGCTACTTCCTAGCCAATCGCTACGCCAAGTATGACCAATTTAAAAACAACAAAATTTCCGAGGACAGGGACAGCATGATGGGCAGCATCCCCCAGGAGAGTCTCCTGCAGAAGATTAAGCGGAAACAAATCAGCGCTGGACACAGCATGAACAATGCGAGTAACCCGAATGATGTGCGTTGTGCGAACAATGTGCACAGTGAGGACGGCGCGGACAACACGAGCAATCTTAACAATAGCGGTGCGAATGGTAGCATTTGCCCCCAGCAGAGAAACCACAAGGAGCACGCAGGTTCCCACCCCGGCAGCCACATGAATCAGAAGTTTAACCCAACTCATCTCGTAAACAAGCGACACGACAATTTAGTCGACCTGGCCAGTAGCCCTAACTGTATGGACCAATCGGTCAACAGCAGTAACATATCGTATCTCCTCTCCGTCATGAGAAACGCAGAGGCAGTCTCTGCAGGAGCAGGAACACCAGCAGCAGCAGGCGGTGTCAATGTCATGACACCCACGCCGATCACTACGAACAGAAGCGGAAACGCCCTCTTTACCAGTGCAGTGAAGGGTGCAAGATCCTCCCACCCGAATCTAAGCCAACCACATACGACGAACCAGAAGTACTACAGCACACCAGACATTAATAGATGCAGTGAAGAAGGTCCAATGGACAGAGAACAGCTAACGCGAATGGAAAAACAAAACATCCTTTTAAAGAGAATTATGAGCAAAATTAAAATGGAGGAAAATATCTATAACAAATTAAGCCAAAGTGAAAAAGAAGAATTGCTAAATGAGCTAGCTTTAACCAATGCGAAACGTGTGGACGCGTATGGATATGCTCAGGAAGATACATCCCCCCTCCTTAGCATGATAGGGAAAGATATGTATCACTCGGCTACGGGAAGTAGCGGTGTCCTTGAAGGGACACACCAGAATTTGAAGAACACGACCAGTAGCATGGAGCTTATGAATTACATGTATGGCAACAGTGCCCGTATGAACGTCAGGAACAATAAATTCAATGTGGCCACAACAAACGTTGCAGCCTCGTATCGCCACAATGGTGAAGACAACGGCGATGATGGAAACAAGGACCACTGTAACTTGAAAAATAAGATTAATCATATGAGCAAAAATGAGGCCCTTTCATACACTCAGGAAGTGGAGTTCGCCGGGAGGCATCTCCTGTGTGAGGGCGGAAAGGGGAGGGGGGCACTAGACGAGGAGGAGAAGAAAGGCCATTCGGATAAAATTGCTGCTGGACACTCCGTTGAAATTACTTGTGACCACTCGGGTGAAACTGCTGGTGACCAGTCGGCCAGCCACGCAAAGGCCTCCCCCCCCGCGCAAAGTGACGAGAAGAGCTCCTTCATGAATGTAAGCAGGTGGCTAAAATATTTCAGCAGGGGTAAGGGAAGCGACCAGGTGGAAGGCCCTCACGTGTCAGCGAAGGAGAAAGCCATGCAGATGAATGAAGTGCATCACATCCACGACAGCAATGAGGGGGGATGCACCGATAAGGGGACCCCATCCGGAGGAGTAAAAGGACTAGAAGAAGTAGAAGAAGAAGAAGCTGAAGAAGAACAAGAAGCAGATGAAGAAGAAGTAGAAGAAGAAGGACAGGCCACCACCGCATATCGTTATAACACCCAAGGAGTAATGACGCCAGGTGGAAGAGCTCAACAGAAATGTCAGAACAACAGTAACGCTGACTACACAGGATATTCTTCAAACCATTTTCATGAACAGGCGGAAGTTGAAAAAAAAATATTCAGTGGTATGAAAGAGGAGAAGAAAGGTCAACAATACGACAGGGTAGACAGTTCCTCCCCTCCATGCGCTGTTAACGAAAATGTTAGCAGCGGCATGGCCACGGGGCGTAACCTCTTGGGGGAGTTTCCTCGCAAGGGAATCAACTCCACTGGAGAAGACGCACACAAAAATAGTGAAAATCGGAGCAATGTAGACATCACCAATAATCAGTATATACACATAATAAGCCGAATAAATAAAATCAGAGGAGATGTTTGGCAATATAAAGATCCCGCAGGAAATGTGCAAGGTCCCTTCTCATCCGAATTGATGTTCTACTGGTGGTCACTGAAGTACTTTCCACAGAATTTACCCCTCCGATTTAATGAGAATATGCCCTGGGTTAGCTTCAACGAAATGTTCCCTCCTGGGACATTCCCTTTTGTTTTTCCACTGACCAGTTTTCCTAAAAATAATTACCACATGGTGAAGAAGGATAACGATCATTCTTCTGCTCAGCAGGGTGGCGACCTTGCCAATAGTCTGGAAGCCTTCAAGACGAGGTCCTCTCTAGAGAGCCAACCTTTGCGAAATAATCGCCTAAATAGCGCTGGCCTGCAGAGGGGTGACACGAACAATTACCTCTACGCGAATGGCACTGCTAGCCAGATGAGCAGTTTGAACCGTCTCAACCATTTGAATCACATGAACCATCCGAACCGTCTGAATCATATGAACCATTTGGTGAATAACCAGGATAATTTATCATCAAAGGGTTACAACATAGATGTGGCGAAGAACCAAAGGGGGATACTGACTCAGGAAGATGGAATAACAGCAACACTAACCACCGCGACAACAAGCAGCATGTACAATGACAAAGAGTATTCCCACTTCCGTGATGGCGGGAAGCAAAAATCGGATGGCCCCATACCAACGAGAGGAGAAAGAGATATCCCGAGAAGGGCAATACATTCCACCGGTAGTGGTAGCAGTCCTCGCACCGATAAGGAAGTCACTGAGATGGAAAAGTACCTCCTCTCGGGTGGCGATCATCGTGATGACAATGTCAAAACAGCGACTCAGACATACAAGGCGAAGGGAAACATGCAGAGTCAGAATAATTACGCGGGAGCGCATCACTCGGCAGGAGGAGTAATACCCCCCATCTCCACAGCAGCAGCGATAGGGGCGCAGAAGTTTCCCGCAAATTACAAAGACGGAGGAAACGCCGTTCATAATTCGGCACACCACACCAGAGACCACGTTAGTGGATTCCCTGCGAACTTCCCCCACCACGACACGAAATTACCCAACGAGGAGAAAGGGACAAATCTTCCACATGAAGAAGCAGATCAGGATGATGATCCCTTTTCCGGGACAATCAGGTGGATGCCGGAAAAACTCACCAAATTCCCGAAGATGTTCGAGTTTGAACTGAGCGCAGAGGGGGAAGGAGGAGAGCTACAAAAAGGGGTACAAAAAGAGATACAAAATGAGGCAGGGGAGAAGTTACCTCCAGGTGCAGCCCCTTCCCAACTGTACAACGATAGTGTGGCACTCCGAGACAAGAATCAGCAAAGAGCTGGGGATGAAGAGGAAGAGATGTCTACAAAATTGCGCGACAACAGCGGGGGCCTTAATGACAGGCAAATGAACCAATACACGGTTTGTCCTGCTCCCAATGCGAAGACTACGGCGAAGAGCGACAACAAACAACCAAGTGATAAGCTCAACACACATAGTAAGAGTAACAACGTGGTGGTGAGTGACGACACGATGCTCTCTCTAACCGAGGCAAACTCCAAACGGAGCGTCGCCAACCATGAGGGAGGACCAAAGGCGAAGGCGAAAATGGTTCCTTCCACTGTCGGAAGCGGAAAACAAGCTAAGGACGGTAAGGTCACTGCGAGGAAGCCAGAGGAGGAAGAGGACACCAGCGAGGGGTACGCCACTATGAAGAAGAACAAAAAGGGAAAAAATGGAAAGCGCGAAAAGGGAGAAAAGCCAGAAAAGGCAAATAAAGCGGAAAAAACCGATAAGATCGATAAAGCAGATCAGGTGAAGAAGACAGAGAAGAAGCGAAACAAAACCAACGGAAGTGGAAAAGAAAAGGAAAAGAACCACCACCAGATGGATGAGACAACACAGGTGGATGGGCAGATGGGCCCGGAGACCAGTGCGATTGCGGGCCACTGGGAGGAGGCAAAGAAAAAGCGAAAGGGCGATGATATAGATAAGGCCAAAGCTGATGAAGGCGAAAAGGACGTAGCGAAAAAGAGTAACAACCCGAAAAAGAAGAAAAAGGAAAGTGGTGGACAGCTGGTAGGTAAGAATGGCGAAGCGCCCCTGCCGCAGCAGTCGGAGTGCGAAGAACAGCAGCACCGCGAGAAGAAGGCCCAGAAGGAGGGAAAGAAGGAAGATTCCAGCAAAGTGGGAACTGCCATGACGCCAAGCACGTCCAACGCAGTGAACCCTGTAAGCACGGCCAGTTCGAGCAACCCTAAGGGGACCGAAAAAAAAACGGAAAAAATGAAGTGGAGTATAACGGGCGAGAGAAAAATAGACAAGCTGGTAGACATCATGAAGGGAGAAGAGAAGAGTGTAAACATGAAGATAAAAATTGAAAACTCCAAAAAGAAAATGGCAGCCAGTGCCAACGGAAACAACGCAAGTTGTGCCAATGGCACGGTGAAGAAATCCGGCTGGGACGTCTCCTTCAGCACAAGTGTGAAAGACTCGGACAACGTAAATTTTCCGCATTTGTCCACAGGGGGAGGAAGCAAACAAAGCAAAGCAAAAGCTGGGGCGAAGGGCAACCTGACAAGTAAAGTGAGCTCCCTGAACAAGAACACTGCAAACAGTACTCTCAACGGTAGTGGTGTAAGCCTTGTCCCCTTCACAATGGCGTTCGATAACAATAACGCCAAAGGTGTGGGCGCGAAGGGCATCACAGATGTATCTATTAAAAAACAGAGTGAGAAGAAAAAATGGAAAAGCGAAAGCGGCGATCTGCAGCCAAGCGAGGAGGACAAGAAGTTCCCACCCCTCCTGAATTCTGCGGCCGGTAAAGGTAAGGCCCATTTTGCTCAGCTAACCCCGTGATGGTAGCGGTTTGCTTTCTACGCTGCTTTCCTTTTTCGCTTTGTTGTCCCCGTTTATACACCCCTGCATGTACCGCTTACTATACAACGTGCCCTCTTTTCCGCCCCTTCTCAGTCGAAAGCACCAAGAAGAAAACGAACAACCCCCCCGAGCGGGAACTAACAGGTAGGGCTGCACATTCCCTCGCGAGGCCTCAACGTTAATGGGAGACCCCGCAGTGTAGTTCTCCCTTTGGGTTGCCTCACCCCCCATGTGTGTTGCCTTCACACCCTGTTATGCGCTTTTTTCCCCCCACGGCGCAGACCTGAAGCAACTGACGAGCATGTGCAAGCTCCCCCTGGACGACTCCCTCTTGAACTTTCTAAAGAACTTCAAAAAGGCCGACGAAATTTACGCCTTCCTGCAGCACAGCGTGGAAGATAAAAAGAAGCTCAGCCAGTTTGCCAAGGAGTTTATAAAAATAAACAGCAAGAATGACGTGAATGGCCAAACTGCCAAGAAGAAGAAGTAGCCGCGGCGACCAATCAGCTGAATAGGAGTAGTCGCTCCTTCCAATCAGCTGAATAGGAGTATTCGCGCCTTCCAATCAGCTGAATAGAAGTAGTCGCTCCTTCCAATCAGCCGAGTAGAATTAGCCGCGCTGAGTTTTCTTTTTTTTTAAAATAAAAATTTTTTTTTTCCTTCCCATCGTTGCTTCATCTGTGGTGAAAACTGCCCTTCTCCATCCTAGTGGGATTTTTTTCTCTTTCTATTTTAACTTCCATTTGATTTCGTCAACTGTCCCTTAACTCATTTAAAAAAAACAGTCCAACTGACGGGTTCCAACTGACGGGTTCCAACTAGACTACAAACGTGACACGTAGCAGTTCGCTTGCGCCCCCGCGCATGTTACCTGCGTGAATAACCTCGTGGATGCATACGATGCTTTTGCGGAGGACCAACACGGGGGTGCAGCGGGCCAATCCCCAGGCGGAGCTCCGACTGCGCAGCATCATCCGTGCTGCATCATCCGTGCGACTTCGACCCAACTGTGAAATTAAAACAAAGAAACGCTATGTCGTTCTTGCTCATCCAAGCGGCATATTCCCACGACGTGAAAAACGTCAAGGGGAAGTTGCCTCCCTCCACAGGGGAGAGGCGCCATGATTGTGAACTAAATTATTACACGGAACTGGCGCATGCCCTTTTCTGCGTCAACATCGCGTTAGAGCGGGTCCTCCCGGTATGTGATGCTCTTCTAGGCATAGACCAGCAGCAGGAAAGGGGGAGCAACCTTTCCATCCCTATATTTAGGGCCCCCTCAATTCGCTGCTCCACCTAGAAAAATTACGCAAAAAGGAACATTCCACGACCACTTGATGAGTCGCACGAAACAAATGAAACGACAATCCCCCCGGCTATCGTCACCCGCGGGCGGTGCCAACCGCTGCCCCACGAAGAGACGCAGCAAGTACTTCTCCAAAGCGAGGAGAAAGACCACCAGGCAAGAAACCACCCCCACGCAGAGAACCCCCCTCACGCAGAGGACACACGCGAGGGGACCAGGAAACTACGCCATCCCCATCTCCACGAGCCTGTACAATGCGACCATTCTTCATGGGAAGTTCAGGAGTAGAGAAGCAACAGGGGGGATGGAAGAGGGACTGTTCGATGATACCCTCCTTGGGAAGATCACCAGCAATGCGGAGAAAACTCCCCCAAGAAGGGATGACACCCAGTCTCGAAGTGGCAGTACACGCCCTGACGGGGACAATTCTCTAACGATGAAATTTCGAAAGATAATCGCTACCTACAACGCGTTTACAGACCTCATGAGGAAGCTAAAGTTCAGTAACGAACAATTGGGGCGGCATGCCAAGTGCCCTACATGCATTAACAGCTCAGTAAATATGAAGGAGGGAAAATATGAGAAATACTTCGAATGCACACAGTGTCACGAGAGGGTTTCCATAAGGAAAGTAGAGGATTCCATGTTTGATGAAAGAGAAAAGTTGTTCCTTCAAAATAGGAGAAAAATCTGCTTCGAAATGGAAAAGCCCGACTCCTACCGCATTCACCACTTTGGGAACCTCTCCTTTGCCAAGGACTTCAACAGAATAGTAAGCGACGTAATCAGAGAAGTCCTCACCGATTTGAGGACACTAAAAAGACATAGAATAAAATATAGGAACATTATAAAGTATATATACAGGATCAATACATTTGTCGATTTGTTGGAATGTCCAAAGTGGACAAAATGGAGAAGTTTCCGTCCTGAAAGGCACGTCTCCCACGGGGAATCCCACTCTGTCTTCAGATCCAGTGGGAGGTACAACTTATCATTCATCCGAAAACGATATGCAGCCCTGCTTAGGAAGAAGAACTATGTGAAGGGGAAGTCCAAAGGGGGAGAAAAAGAAGGAGAAGAAGAAGCAAAAGAAGGACAGAGAGACGAAGGAGAAGCAAAAGGACAGCGAAACGAAGAACTCCTCTTTCTGTACGATTCCAAATTTATAAACCATGTCGAAAGAAAAAAAAAAAAAAATAAAATTTAGTGTAATTTTTACGTACGCGTAACCCATTATACATATCTAGCCAGATTTAATTTAACGTCTCAAAAAAAAAAAAAAAAAAAAAAATAACCATTTATTTGAAGCTCTAATTGGTAGATACACAAAGTGGTACATAAACGGACGTGACTTTTTCGATGAGCTCAAATATCTTCCATTGACTTGGAAACCCAGGAGAGACTACATACAGAGTGGTATCTTCCCCTTCCACTTATCGAAAAATATTCAGAAGAAAGCCTCCTTTAGGAGACTCAGTGTTGACAGTTACAACTATCTCTGTGGATGTGTCTTCGACCTCTGCTCCTACCCTCTAATGCTACGTTATTTTGTATTCCGCTTATATAGCCACTGTTTTGTGCACGAAATTCCCAGCTGCGTTTTTCACTACTTTCGACACGTCTACCCGAGAGTGCACGAGAAGACACATGCACATAAGTTTTTTCTAAAATGGAGATTCTCCAGCGTCATGCGGATGACCTATGCCAAGTATCAGCGCGAATTTGAGGAGGGGTATCAACCGGAGGAGGGGCATCAACTGGAGGAGGGGCTTCTCCACCTAGCGGACTCACCACGCCTTCCTGTGACTGCTCAAATCGGAGGAGTAACCGAATCGCCCATTGCATGCCCCCCTAAGTACTCCTCCAAAGAAGATAGCCGCATAACCAGCTCGTACAATTTGGACGAACTAGCCAAATCTTCCTACCATTTCAGTCGAGAAAAACTCAGAGCTCATATACTGAGACACCATTACGCGAAACGGAACCAAAAAGTTAAGAAAAAAATTTTCAGCGAAATGAAAAATAGATGCCTTGAAGAAATAAAAAAGAAGCTCCCCAAGAGGATTCAAAAGGTGATCCTACCGTACCAACTAGAATCTGTGTACTTCTTTAAACAGAAGAATGGAAGAATATTAATCGGCGACGAAATGGGACTAGGAAAGACACTTCAAGCCATTTGTATTTTCCATTTTTTTCGGCTTTACCCCACCCTCATTGTAACCCCGTCCACTATGAAGCTTAACTGGGCCTGCGAGATTGAGAGATTCCTGCCTGCCTTTGACCCCTCCAAGGTCCTGGTGGTTGGCGACTCGAACGACTTTCCGAAGGGGGCCCGGCTGTACAGGTGCGGAGTGGAATCGAACGAGTTGGGAGTGGAAAGAGCGGACGGAGCGAAGAGAATGAAGAGCTTCCCACCAAAGACATCACCACGATGCGAACCAGTGGTATGGAACCACCACCCCTGATACAACGCTAAACCTTTTCGCTTTCACCCCCCCTCTACAGAATCATCATCATCTCCTTCGATCTGTACAAAAAGCTGGCGCACCTCATAAAAGAAATAAACTTCAAATTAATTATCGTGGACGAAAGTCACTTCATAAGAACGAGGCACTGCGGGAAGCAAAGCCAGCTAGCCAAAACGATCAAAGCTACCCTTAAAAAGACAAAAAACGTCATTTTCCTGAGCGGAACTCCCTCCATAAACAGACCCATCAATATATACCACCAAATTAAGTACCTCATAAACAGCAAAAAGAGGTTCTGTAAAAATAAGTTCATCTTTGGAGAAGAATTTTGCAAAAAATATTTCTCCAGAGGAGAAAAGGTATTCGAAGAGAATTTACGCTCCTGGGAATTCCATCTCTTCTTAAAAAAAACGGTTATGATAAGGCGGTGCATTTCAGACGTCTTTACTTCGAACTTTCCCGACTTGAAGAGATTCTTCGTGTACCTACCTCATGGACCTTACACCATGGGAACTGATCATCTCGTCAATTTTTTGTCACCCGCTTCCGCATGTACCCCATGTAGGGAAGAAAATGCCCTGCAAACTGTCGGGAAAGACTCAAAAGAGGGAACCGAATCGGTTAGCCCAGAGTTGACAACTCCCAACATACAAGCATTGAGCGAATCTTTTAAAGTCCAGATTAAGTCCAAAAAGATGGAGGAGGGACTCTCCAAAGTGGTTCATGCTATGAAATATATGGAGGAACATTTCCCGGGGAAAAAAAAAATCATTTTTTGCTACCACATAACTGTGTGCAAATACATCGAAGAGGAGTTGCTACAAATGATAAAAAGAAAAAAACAAACTGAACAAGTCATCATAGACTACGTTGTAGTGAAGGGATATTTAAGCGAAAAGGAAAAGCGAGAAAAAATACAATTCTTTCGCATGAACCACAGGTGTCAGTATGGCATTTTCACTATCTGTGCAGTTGGCCATGGACTAGACTTCACTTTCTGCAACTTGTGTTTTTTCCTAGAATTTCCTGTAAACTTCTTTCACCTGCAACAATGCGAGAGTAGACTTTTTAGGAAGAACCAGCTATTCAACACGTACGTTTTTTACTTCCTCTTGGAAAATGGCATAGGGAGCGACTACAAAACGTGGAGAAGGTTCACCCGGTGTGCACATAGCACTCGCTCGATCGTTGATGGAACGGAGTTTCCTGGCAAGGATCTCCTTTATGAGGACGTTTCGGGGGACGTGCTTCTGCTAAGCGATCAGAGTGGGTCTCCCGCGAGTGCCGATCCTTCCAGAAGCAGTTACTCCCCAGAAGAGCCAAACTGCAAACCCCACAACGAATTGAGTAGCCACACCCACAGCGTGCGAAGCGCCCGAAAACGAAAATTCCTCTTCCAAATAAACACCCTCACAAACAGAATCCATGCGTACTACCAAAACAAGAAGACCAACTTTCCCATTGAGCACCTGGCCAACGGTGGGGGTGAGGAAAAATCACGGACGCTTCTCAAAAAATGCGCGACTAAATTTTTGCAAAATTACAACAAACTAAGCACGACCGAAAGGAAGTTAATTGAAAAGAAAAAATGCGACATTAACATATCGCTGCTTCGCCATCTGCGCGAGGAAGAAAATAAAACAAAGGCTCTATATTTTGAGAGGTACACAAAGAACTTCGCCGCAAGCGATAAGACATACGTGAAGACGTACCTTAAAAACAGCTTCCGGGGAAAACTACAAGTCTTCTATTACCAGGAGTATGACGAAAAAACAAACGAAGTTAAATGTCTACAGTGTAAAAGCGAGTTACCCCCTTGTGCCAGTACCATAGTAGGTGAATACAACGTCATGAAATATTTGCAGGAACACTCGGACAGCGCCATGATCGAGAAATTTCATCAAGAATTCAACACAATTAAATTGCAAAGTTGTAATGTTAAAAATATTCTCATATGTGATGAGAGCAATATGTTTTGCGAGGGCAAATGCAGAATGTTTTATTTTTTAAAAAAAAGTTCCAAGAGTGTACGAAGATTAATTTACGAAAGAGATAAAGGCGTTTGTAACATTTGCAAATTGGATTGCACAAACTTAATTAGACAAATTAAAAGTCAAAAATACTTTCCAATTAACGAAAAAATTGATTATTTTATTAGAAGATATCCACTATTTATTGAAGATATTAATCATCTCACACGCATACTTGAGAAACCAATGCAAGGACAGATCTGGAACGTGGACCACATCTTGCCTGTCTTCAGGGGGGGCGGAGAGGCCTCCTTTGACAACCTGCAGACATTGTGTACCTTCTGTCATAGGAAAAAAACAAAGGACGATTATAAGAAAAGGGTGAAGAGGAGTAATCCTGTGGAGAGTTCCCCTCCAAAATGATTCAACTGGTATCTTTTCCGAGGGACGGATGATTCGTCAACCGTTCGGTTGTATGTCCACGTGTGTGTTTTTTTTTAACTTCTTTTGGATTTTACCTGATTTTTTTTTTTTTTTTTTCATTTTGGCTAGCTCATTTGGCTAGATTTTTCCACGGTGCCCAAATTTGTTAACTCCCCATTTTGGCACTTTCCCGATGAACCGCGTCTTACCCAGTTTTGAGTGTATTCTTCTCAGTTCCATATATTCGTGTGTAGGAAGTGGACAGTGGTGTTCCTCCCAAGTGGTGAAAAATTATGAACCGTCCATGGGTTTCTTTTTTTTTCTTTTCCTTTTCCTTTTCCTTTCTTTTCCTTCTTTTCTTTCTTTTCACTTCTCCCTCTTCAAACAAACGCTGTGCCCGTCCAGATCCTTGACCACCCAGCCACCGTGCGACTCCCCCAGTTGTATACCATTTTCCCGCAGCCTCTGCTCCACGGCGGCCAAGTCGTTGAAACTCAAAATTAAATTTCCAAGGGAATTCCCCATGTGTAGCTTAGAAAATGGGGTGAAAGCAGCGACGTGGCTGTGTAGCAGGTAAATGTGCCAAACGGGCAATCTGGACTAAATTGTGCACGCGCCTGGCAAAGGATGGGTCCGCCCACCCCAGAAAACTCGCACCACTCACCTTATCCTCATCGTAGGCATACGCCATCTGGAGCACCGTCGCGTTCCTTCCCGAGGAGAAGAAGTAGCTCATCCCGCCGTATACACTCCAGGGGTAGGAAATTTCTTCCAAGTGGCTCTGTATCTTTATCAGCTAAATAGGGGGACGGGATACGCAGATCGAAATGAGCACGCTGAACGGAATAACTGTTCCGAACGGTGAAACTTTCTCTTTTTTTTTTTTTTGTTTTTTCTGTTTTCTTTGTTTTTTCTGTTTTTTTCGTTTTTTTTGTTCTTTTTCTCACCTCCATTCCTAAAATGTCCGAGTAAAACTTCTGCGAATCTTTCGTCGACGTGGTAAAGAAGCGTATCTGTAAATTTGCATTTTGTTAAAAGGGACATTATCGATTGGGCAGCTGGACGAAACGTGAGCAAATGTGTAGGTATAAAAAAATCGTGCGCTTAAAGGGAGGGGGGCTTCTCCCTTTCACTTATTTTCCTTTTTTATGTGCGAACCCTGTCCAGTTTGCTGCCTTTCCCCTGCAGCACCACCTCGATTCCGTAGCCGTCCGGGTCCGTCACGAAGCAGTTTGTTAAGAACCGCCTAATTTGCGCCTACGTGTGTGGGTGGGGAGAAGCGAAAAATGAGCACGCTAAATGGGATAGCTCCAAGTATGATCACACCACATGTGCAGCCATCGTATGGACAGCCCCCGTGTAGAAGCTTTCTCATCCTACGTCCTCGTCCGGCAATATGCACGCCGTGATCGGCCTCTTGTCTATCCCCTCCTCCACGTTCCCTCCGTATATTTTCGTTTTGTTTATTTGGAACTCTTCCATGTTTACGCCAAGCCCCAGGAAGCAGTGCTGTCAAGTGGAGAAAAAAGGTTTGTTTGCTGTTTCGGCGGTTCACTAATTATGGAAAAAGTAGCGACGATGCAGATATAAAGCAGCGATGTTGGAGCGATGAGGCTGCGAAGTGGCACAGACGAAGCCGCTCCCCATTCACGCAGAGCGCCCAACCACACCCCTCTGCCAATATACCTCTCCTATAATCATGTCCTGGTCCTCCCCCTTTTGCACTAGTTTTATATAAGCCTCTTCGGGGCCTAAGGCCATTTTCACGAAACCCTCGCCCTTCTCGCGCACTTGAAAACCCAGCACATTTTTGTAAAACTCGATCGAGTTGTCCACATTACGGACTGTATACTCTATCCCTTCCACTCTGCATTTCAGCCTCTTGTTTCGGTTTGGTTCACCTGGATTTTTAACCTTCTTCCCGACGATATTGCTGCTGGTCAGGAAGGAATAAGACGAACTACTTGGCAATTTCAAAAAGTGGTAACCGTTAAAGAAGAGCAGGGATGACCAAACGAGGGCGCGCTTCATGAAGGTGACCTTTGCCATGCGCACCAGCATACACAAAAACAAAAAAAAAGGAAAAAAATATGTCTGTCCAGTGTACGCAAGTGTAAGAAGTGGGTGGGGGGTGACGCTCGAATGTGCGGATGACACGCCAGAAGGGGACCTATCTGCAATCAATAGATTTTGATACCCATATGGGGGGTGTTACACTTGGTTCACCGCAGAACCTTTTATATTTACTGCAACGTTAGCGAACTCGTTTGCGCGAGGATTGCGAAGAACCACTTCGCACCATGGAAGGAATTTATGGAAAGGGTGTTCGGCGCGGAAGAAGGGCCATGCGCGAAAAAATACATACATACATGCATATATACATACATATATACGTGGGTACTTCCACACGTACATGCGTACTTCCATAAGTATGTGCGTACTTATTGCACATGTACGCGCCCGCAAGCTCGTCGGTCGGGTAATCTTCAAAGCGGGGATAAAAAGCGGCCGTCGCAACTGCCCCAGCAACCGCCGCAGCTGCCGCCGCAACAGCCGCCAACCGGTGAGAACGCCTATGGAGGGTAGCATCTTCACCGGGGGGACAAGCCACGACTAAAAAAAGAAACCACGCGAGGGCATACCATGTGTGCTGTGACACCGGTGTAATTGATGCAAAAAAAGTGACTCCCTTGGGATGGGGAAAGCCACGTCCTTTTTGGCAAAGTGTGCGCTTCGTAGGGGGTACTACCGCTCCACCTCATTCGTAACGGCCAACGGAGGCAAAAGCGCGAGACTTCCCTGTCTCGAGCAAGTACGAATCGGCGTCGCGGACCACGTTTAGCAGCTTCTGAAAAATGGCCTTAACCCTCTCAAGGCGGCCATAACACCTATGCCACTCATAAAAGGGCATAATCACTAAGTTGTAATTTAATTTCCTCCAAAAAAATAAACGCAAATAAACCAACGGTAAAAGCTCGATCGACGCATCATCAACTTCTTTAAAATAATCCTCCTCCTCCAAAAATTCAAAAATAAGTCTCTTTTTCAAGTCCACATATTTAACATCCAAGGAAAACATTTTAACGTTCTTCGTAATTTCGATTTTGTCCTTTTGGCTGTTTTGGCAGTAGGCATATTTCTTCAAAATGATTTCGAATTCAAGGTGAGCTGCCTTCCTCCGCTTGGTGCGTTCCTTGACGAGGTCATCATGGTGGTGGCAATCCGCACGATCTGGCCCTCTTCTCTCCGTCGTTCGTTCCCCTCGTGCGTGCACCTCCGCTGTATCTATATGATTGTACTCCTGAGATATTATGTCCATCTCGTTATCATCTTCTGTGTCGAGCAGGACGAGCTTCTTCCTATCAAAGGTGAAGTCGTGCGTCGAGGCGGGAGCGCGTATTATTTCTGACGTTGCCGCTTCCCATCGTAACGACTCCCCCATGTGGGCCTCAAAAACGGTGCCAACCTTGTGCAGCAGTGCGTCCACCTGGGCGAGACCGTTCGGTGTCCCAAAAAACTTCACATTCAACAAAAAGAAGAAAAACTGGTTCGATGGAATAAACTGCTTCATCTCGAAAATGTCGCTAATCAAGTTGGGATAATACCTTTCCACAAAGGGAATGTCACGGAAGGATAAATTAACAAACGTTACCAGCACGGGGATGAACTCCTCTTTGAGTCTTGCATTCGATTTGATCTGCTCGTATAGCTGATCTAAGAGCTCCAGACTTGTGCACAGGTACAGGTCGTTCACGCTGCAGTGGATGTTGGTGGCTGGGTTTATTAGTAGCGGCATCACGGAGAAGTAGGTCTTCAGGAAGGGCAGTGGTAAGGGGGTCCTCGGCAGGGGGGGCCCCGGAGCTCCTTCAAGTGATTTGCCACACGATTGGTCAATCAATTCGCCACTCAATCGGTTGCACGATGTTTCGCGCGATCCGTCCCCCTGCTCCTCGATTGATGGCTCCCCCCGGAGCGCCTGGCTGACTCCTCGCAAGCAGCATTCCATCAAACACACGTACCGGTAGGGGTACATATTCTTAAAACTCCTCATCAGGAGCTCCAGCTGAGGAACGCCCAGAGTGTTCTCCCCAAGCTGACGCTCCAGGAAAACCAACAGATATTTCCTTATGAGGGCATTCCTGTTGTCTATATTTATGGAGAGCCTGCTCACTAGGTACAGCAATTTGATCGTTTCGTCTGTCTTCATCTCTGCACTCTTCGCGCTATTGGCGCTGTCCACTCCCTTCTCGCCCTCCTCCTTCTGAGACGACACGAACCGAAGTAAAATCTTTTTAAACACTGAATTGAACGAATTGAACTCCGTGTCGACATTCCGGATAATGCTAAGTCCCCTCACCAGCTTCAGAATCTGCTCATTCTTCAATGCATGTACATGATCATACAGGTTTGACAGTACGACTCGAACGACCCCCTTGTTCACGTAATTTAACCTCTGGAAATAATACAACAGCGTGCAGCAATTCGCTGCGCATATTTTTGTTCGCCTATTGTTGCAGAGGATGCCCCCTTCGTCTAGGGGAGAAATCCCGTGTGAGGCGTTATCTGCTTCGTCGCTTGGCCGATTGTCGCTTTTCCCTTCATCGCTTCCCATCGAAGTGAGGCCATTCAGGTATGCCCAGTTCATCTCCATCACACGCTCGATCTTCCTGTACTCCTCGTTCCACTCGCTGCACCCAAGTTGGTTAACCACCCCCCCCATAGCCTTTTCACTGCTGAACAAACTGTTTGAGCGCTTCAGAAGTTTATCCATGTCTTCCCGATAGCGGCTACATTCCTTCCTCCTTCCCACCAACCGATACTGCAACACTGTCAGGGCGCTTAAATAATTCAGCACATTCTCCAAAAGGACATAATTTTCCTTTGTAAAAAAATACAGAGAGTGGTGCAGCCCCCTCAGGAGGTGTAAAATGTCTTTAAGGGAAAAGTGCAGTGAGCAGATCAAGCACCACTTTAGCAGGTGCAAAAAAAGGGGAGTATCTCTATATCGAATCTTCCCTAGAAGCAAAATTTTGTACAAGACATTTTGGACATACCTATCCAGGTGTTCAGATTGGACACAAACTTTCTCATCACAGTTGATTAGGAAGAAGTCTCTTCTTCTGATTTGGTCGGAGATGCTGGGTTGTTCCTCTTTTTTGATGCTAATAAGCCCTTCCGCTGCTTTGGTCAGGAGGAGCGATTCCTCCAGGGTTAGGGTGTAACCTCCAGGCGGGTTCTTAGCACTTCCCAGTGTGCCCTCCGCACCCCCCAAGACGCGGCGCACAACGCAGGAAAACAACTTCCCCCTCAAGGACCCCCCCGCCACAGTGCATTTACCAATTGTACAAAACTCATCCAACAGATAAATCATCGTGGACGTGGATTCTATCAAGTTAGTGTCATTCTTATCCAAAAATAATTCTATCTTGTTCATGCAAAAGTTAACATGATAAACCTTTTTAAAGTAAAATAATATTTTGGCTAGCTCGGCAACACGGTCATAATGGAAATGAGAAAAGTCCTCAACCTTCAGTGAGTCAAACACGAAGGAAAAATAAGACAATGGCAACAAATTGTTGTGCTTTATGTTCCTACTCTTTATAGTGTTTAGGACATTCACATAGTCAATGTCTTTAAGTTCCTTCCCTCGTTGTAAGCATCCCTTTAATCGGTTCAATACGTCATAGTAACAGTCATTATCGATGAGATAAAAAAATTCCAAGTCTTCTAAGATGTTGCATAGCTGCTGCGTATTCGCTTGTCCCATTTTTTCGTAAAAGTTATTTCTCAGACGTGAGTTAATTTGTGTGATTAGTTCCAAAGTGGATTCACCATATTGATGACCATTCCGATTTCCTTTATCGTAGGGGGAAAAGTCACACGCAGGATTCTTCCCCTGGTGAATACCCTCCATAGCGTCTAACCGGATAACCCCATTGGGTACTGCCCCATTGGGTACTACCCCATTCGCCTTTCCCATCATCATCATCACCAACTTCTTAACACATCGCAGTACAGACGATATGCCGTGCATCTGCAAGGACGGCACCACGTCGTGTAGCCTTCTCAAAAATGAGTTTACCAAGAGTTCGGTTTGCACCCCGGGGAAGGCAGCTCCGAGAGGTGGCATAACACAGTAAGGATTAGCACTTCCGCCAAATCGTCCCATCCCGTTCACGTAAAAATGAAACAGGATAGTCAAGTCCACCGCATTACTTTCCTCCAAGATATGCTCCACATTTTTGAAAAATAAGAACAAAAACTTCTCATTGTATATATCCAACTTTATCATGCTATTCAAAATTAAGCTTATGCTCATCACTGGGACATTTTCGAAGATCTTCGCCGCTTTGTCTACCAGTTTTGTGTACATCTGGATCACCCCCTTACTGTAGTACCTCCCTTTACTGATTGAGTTAATCAGTTGTGACAATTCGATTGGGTTTTCCGCCACGGATAATCCATAACTTAGGTTTTTCTCGTACATATCATATTTCCCATTCTTCAAATTATCACTTAGCAATTTGCACAGCTTTGTTATTGTTTGCTTTCTGTTTCTTTCCTCCACTGGATCGTTCCCATGAAGTTGTTTTTTCTTGTGGTCATGATATTTACTACTTCTTGTCTCGTCTCCACATTTGTCCCCCCTTCTGTTGCTCCTCCTTACAATGTCAATGTTCAGTGGCTTTCCCCTTAGCGTCTTCACAACAATGGAGCTGAAGATGCTGCGGGATGCGGCCTTTTGCAGGAGCTTCGGCACGGCGTTCAAGAAGCCTCTACACCTTTTTGCATACATCTCTAAGTTAGGAGGAGTTACACGGGGAGTTACGCAGCCAGGTTTGACGTCCTCCAAAGAAGTGGTAATGAGATAGGGCAGCTATAATTCGGCTCATAAAGTGGGCCCGTCGCTACGATCTCGAGTTGGTTAAATAAAAAAAAAAACACACAATGGAATACACAGCAGTGTTGCCTATATTCCCATGTTCTTGCCACAAAACAGAACGAGGAAATCCCCCGATTAGTATGCTTCTCTAAAGGTGAAGAAGTATTAAAAAAAAAAAAAAATGAACCCACCACAAATGCTGTCGAGTCCTCTTTACAACTGTGCTCATTTTACGTCGCACCTCACCAATGGCATTTTCTTTCTTCCATTGAGCTCCTATGCATTGTGCGTGAGGATAAACCTCCTTCTTAAAAAGAGAGTGTACTTTATTTTTATTTTATTTTTTTTCTTCTTCCTTTTTGCTCACCCACTGTTGACACTTGGTAGGAACAAATGAAGACGAAATCGAATGGGGTTAATCTTAGAGAAGAAGCTGGTGGCAGCACTCTCAAACGGGGCGTGTGCACGAGACCATCTGCGGACCCCACTTTGGTGTTCACTTCTTTTCATCGTCCGACGGGAGGATACCAGCCTTCTTCCATTCGTGGTAGCTTAAAGGGGGGAAAAACGCAACCAAATGGGAAAAACGCAACCAAATGGGACAGACGCCACACAGAATACGCGGCGAGCCCTTTCCAACTTACGTGGTGTGTCCCAATTCGTTGAGCAGCTTCTTTTCCATCGATTCCTCCGACTCTTGCGCCTCTTTTCGCAGGTCCTTCTTCACGTTTTGGATATAGCCCAGGGGGGTCTGGAGGCCGTCGCCGGTCACCATTAGCACCAGCATACTGAGAGATGTGAAGGCCAGCAGCCTGATCTGCGCGTTCTGAAGTGGGTGCATGTGGGTTAGATTAAGACTCACATGTGTTAGTGTGTCCACATATGTAAGCACATTTCTGCGCACGCACAGGGACAGCTCATCAGGGAAAGTTGCAAATGCGCTTCTTCGGATCACTCTCCGCTTATCCAATAGTGGCAGTGAAAAATCTATCTCCTTTCCCAATTTAAAATTACCGAAAAGTTCCCGTTTTTCACGAAAAGCAGATTTTTCAATTTATCCATTTCTTCCGCAACAGCTTGGGATCACATTTACCAGTGCTTCATTTGACTGGACTGGATGTTTTTTTTGCGAAAATGTTTCAAAATGCGATTTGGCATGCTTTCGCGGCATGCCTACAAGAGGGTACTAAAACTGTTCAAAATTTTACACATTTGGAGGAACATCCTAACGCATAAGTTTACTACTCCTTTTTTACGCCACTTCGGATCACATTTCCCACATTGCTAGCCACGTCGATGAAAATTGCCTGACCCGTTCAGGCGTTTTTAGCAGAATTTTCAAAAAAATTATGACAAAAAAAAAAAAAATTTAGTTAGCTAAACGTAAGAGGCGAAAAGGATGCGCACAGGGAACAAATCGAACAGTATTTTGCTTAGTACGTATAATGATAAAGAGTATGCCACAGAGGCCACAGGTTTATACATGTTTGTAGCCTCTTGGCCCCCTCTTTTGCATATTCCGCTCGTTGAAACCCCGTCAAGTGAAAAAATGAAAAATGCTGTGCCACAACCTTTCGAGCAAGGTCAGCGAATTTCTCCTTAACCGGATGAACTGCCCCTTTCTGCAAAATGTACAAATAAGGAACCATAAAATTATCAAACCGAGAAACATCATTAAGCTATGGAAAATTAACAAAGGGGACGAAGTGAAGGTGATATCGGGAAAGGATAAGGGCAAAATAGGGGAGGTACTAAGTTGTGATAAATTTCGGAACATGGTTAAGGTAAAAGGATGTAATTTGAGAAAAATATATCTCGATAATAAATTTGTTTATATTGAAAAAAAAATCCATTATTCGAATGTCCAACTGATTGATGATTTTTTGAAGACAAACACCAAGGTGTGCATTAGATACACCGATGACAATCAGGTTATACGGATATCGAAAAAGTCCGGAATTGTCATTCCGTGGCCCTCCAAGACGAATAAAGAGGACGAGTTTGACGATGTGGAGGAAAATCCCCTGGACACGCCACCGCAGGAAGCCCTCAAAAAGACATACGACTACAAGACCGATGTGAAGTTCATGAATATATTACGCCAGACGGTTAACAAATACAACAGGGAACTGTCCTAGAGAAGCCCAAAAAAAAAAAAAAAAAAAAAGGAAAAAACAAAGACAGCCACGTGTCCAATACTGTTTTGCCAATCTAGAGAGGGGGCCACCACGATTGTGTACGGGCTTAAATTCGGCCAGGTTTAGTTGGCAACCTGTTCTTAGCACGCAATCAGCGGAACCCTGCTTCGTTTTGAACGACGGACGTGAAGCTTTGGCTTGATTTAATTTACTTAATTGAATTCCCTTTTTCGCGAAAAATAGGAAGCGCCCGTGTCGTTAAACAGTGGAGACGCGCAATATTTACCTCCCGGGAGATTCAACAAAAAGGAAAAGAAGAGTAGTACACAGCATATGAGGCACCTACACAACTATAGTGCACCACCCGATCTGGTGTTCCTTTTTTATTCAACTGTGGCTGCCTCGTATGGGCGTAGTTCTCGCAGTCGTGTACACTGTGCTGCATCTACATAGGAGGAGTGTGTGGGTGGATGCTTGTCCCTTACAAACAGCCTGGGGGCAAATGCTATAGAATACCATGCTTAATCGATTTAAAGAAAGTAAACACAATTGGGAAAAGTCCAACCGTTCGGGCCTCACGTTCATTTAACCCTTGTCAAACAAAGCGCAAATCGATTTATATATGGTGGGATTGTTTAGCTGCCCAATGGTCAATTTGACCAGTTATCCTACACTTAGAAATAATGGTAGTCCAGCGCACCCCCACCCCCTTTAAAATTATATTAGTTAAGTTTATTAGCTCACAATTTGAGGAAGCTGTCTGTTACGTTTGAATTTATTTTAATTTCTCCTTTGGTTGCCTCCGTTGGGATAATCCTTCTAATCCCGTTTCAGAAGATGTTCTCCTCATATTTTTTAATGTGTTGTTCTGTTCATCCTTTTAACATTTTTTGTTTCAATTTTTTTCCTTTCACGTGGCAATTTTATTTTTTCCCCCCTTCGCAGCAACCACTGCAACGATCTCTTCCCCAAAGAAATTCGTTTTAAAAAAAAATTTCATTTTATATATTTTTTTTTTTTTTTTCGCGACAAACGGCCACAACCAGGGACAAGTTACGTCTCGCTGCTTAATCATGCGAACGGCAGTATGAAGTAGCACAAAAGGTACGCTATGTTAAATATAGACGTATGCAGGAAATAAAAATGTTAGCAGCACGTGGAAGTGTTATTCCCCACATTGGTAACGTGAAGAATGCGAAGGAAGAGGGTTGTGGCTGCCTGGGAAGGTCATAAATGTATGGAAAAAAAAAAGGTATAAATGGGTTCTTTTCCTAAGAGATGATATATGCACTTCACGTTGGGGGTCCCGCAAAACGGTTAGCAAAAAAAAGGAAGAAAAAGAAGAAAAGGAAGAAACGCGGGGCGAGCTACGGTACATGGTGAGCCACTTTGCATCGGATGCGTATGCCCCGCGGTACAATACATAATAATACATCTTTCTGCGGGAGGTGTATGCACAGTGGGGTACGTACATATAGATAGGCCATTATATACATAAGTAATGCTACGTTACAAATATTTTATACCTACATAATATTACGTACACAATATATTGTACGTGGATACGCCTGCGGCTCGTGGGGCATAGGAGCGTCCGCCCCGCCAGAAGGTGAAGGGAAAAGGACGTATGCGGAACGGGCGTAAAAGTGAAGCAGCTGACTAAGCTAAGCGGCTAAGCTGCTAAGGGGCACCCAAGCACTGCGCGCGCAACAAGAGAAAAACATATATACACTATATATAATATATATTTACATACAAATAATTCGCTTGTCCACATATATGTCCTTTTTCGTATGCGCATGTGCCGTATGCGCTTTCGACCACTCCATTTTTGTTAGTTGAGAGCATGCGCACTTTCAGCATGGCGCGAATTTCTGGAGGAAAAAAAATTAATTGAAGGCGCGCAGGAACAATAAAAAGGCAAAAAAAATAAAAGAAAAATAACGCAACTGTACGCATTTCTCTCTCTATTTTTTGAACGCACGTTTTACATGTAAATTTATAGAGAGGAGCCTTTCGTGCGAAAATGAAAAAGTTTAATTGCTTCTTAATCCGTGAAGCGGTTAAAAAGTATACAAGTTGAACTTTCTGAACGCATTTAATACGATCAAAAAAATACGCCATGTGCGCCAAATGCATCTTTTCTTGCTAAGGCCGTTTTATACACTCACAAACCTTTTTTTTTTTACTTGGATATTTTACATAATACATTTATTTTTCGTTTATTTTTTTTGCCCACTAATGCATAAAAAAATCACTTCATATGTTTGCGTCTCTTGGCCAAAACTTGAGCATATCACAAAAGAGTTTTTTTTTCTTTTTCTCTTTGCTTTTCTTTTTATTTATTTTTTCTTTTCTTCTTCTTTTACTTTTTTCTTTTCTTTTTACTTTTTTTTCTTTTCTTTTACTTTTTCTTTTTTCTTCTTTTTTTTACATCCTCCATCACAGCATATAGCTGACCCCTTGGAACTTCCTACCTGTTTATGCGCAATTATATACCTGCTTCTCACATATTAACGCCTAAAAGCGTGAAAGGAAAAAAAGGAGAAAACAAGTTAAAATCATTTTTACGCGGGCGAGTCAGCACATACGAAGGTACTATTCCTTGGTACTATTCACTCGCTTCCCTGTACCTTATTCATTTCTTGCCTTTCACCATTTCTGAGTTTAATTCTTCCACCCAAATAAAAAGAGGCTCTCTTTACTTTATCTTTGCGTCCACGTGTATATGTACTTACACTCCTGTACCATGTACGCTCACTAGGCCGTATCCAAACGGCAGATTTTTTTCACCATTCGCCCAAAGAAATAGTCAAAACATTCTTTGTTCACGCTAAAGGGACGAATTAAAAAGGAAAAAAAAAAATGCCCTTCGAGGTGCGCGTTTTGTAAGGCAAAGGAGAAAAACGCATTTGCTACTCATACTGTTCACATGTGAAGGATGCCCGTTTCAACGTGAAGGAGCACAAACAGCAGATGAGGGATTGGTACGCTTGTATGAGGTAAAGTCAGTCCTATAGCGTAATCAAATGAACAAAAGTGAAATTTAGCTACATACGCAATGCGTATACGTGTACATGCGCACAAATGTGCTAGTTTGCTGATTGCGCAATTGTACGCACGGAATTTTATTAGAAGCTGAGGAATAACAGACGCAGCCTTCTCCACGCGCTTCTGCACGCACATGCAAAAGCCATGCGAAAAGGTTACGTACCCTTGGTGAGAGGATTTCAATGTACATACCACTTCCTCCGAGGAATCGTCTACGTATGAATGCTGCCTACATTATGTGTACATTATAATTTCTTCTTTTTTTCCTTAATATCCTTTTATGAGTATTTTCCACACGTTAGGGGGTTAATTCAGGGAGTTTTTGTTTCCTCCGTTCGCTAATCTTCCCATTTTTTCGCCATCCTTGCGTCGTTATTTTGTCATACTTACGTCGCTATTTAGTCATTCCTACGTCGTTATTTAGTCATTACTACGTCGTTATTTAGTCATTCCTACGTCGTTATTTAGTTACCTTATGTCTTTACGTAGCCTCCCCTTTTGTCACCACTTCGTCCCCTAGCCCTTTTCTTCTGCTTTGATTTTCCCCTCCTCATCTCAGTTTTCTCATCCGTTGTAGCCCAGTTTCACCGAGCCACCGGTTAGCCACATTTTCAGGAAAAAAAAAATAAGAAAAGGAAAATAAAAAAAAAGGAACGGAAAGGATAGGGGCAATAACCACGCCAGTTACTCTTATCCACAGCGAACTACTCACCTGTGTGAATAACTCGTGGTATGATACGCTCCTCTGATGTGTGTACACACATTGTCAAGGCATTCCCCTTTTTCATCGAGTCTACATCAGTCTTACAGCCCTACGCACGGAAACACACAACACACTCCGTACTGTATCGACGCGATTTAACATTGTTTACACGTGCTTGAAGGATTTTCTTTCTTTTTTTTTCTGGCAAAGGGATTTATCTTCAAAGTTAAAGGAATTATTTTTACGTGTGGAGAAAAAAAAAGGGACACGTGACGAAACGCGTGCGCTCGTAGGTGTATACTCCAGGAAGGCAACAGCTGTCGGCATGTACCCAAGTATAAGTACCTCCGTGTGGATCCCTAGAACTGGTTAGCGCAAGTCAGCGGTGAATTTCAGCATTCTTTCCTGTGTTGTCAGGCCAAACTGTGAATCCTTCTTCTCTCCTGTTTAACCTACTTCCTTGTGTTACAACCCCCCGACGCACCCGCCAGTATAAGCGGAGATCACAGACGTTCCAGGAAAAGTAGCCCACAAGTTAATCGCACTCGAGTTCCCTCTCTTAGGATAGTCCACACCGGGTGACACTCCTGTTAGGAGGCACAGCGTGTCTGTTCTGTCCTTTCCTCTTCTCTGCCTCTCCCTCTCTCTCCCGCTTCCCATCTCCTTAAATCCAAAATGATAAAGCAAAAGAGGTCGTACACGTGTATCAATAACGAAGGCGAAATGAGCAACCACAGCGATGAGGAAGGCCCATTTAAGAGGCCCCGAAATAAAAGTGACAGTAGCAGTAGGTCCTTCGGAAGTTGCAACGATGACGAAATGGAAAACTATGAAAGAATAAGCTACTCTGCTAGTGGCACCACCACAGAAATGAGAATCCCATATTGTATTCTCCTACCAAATAGGGCAATCGGGTTTGTCATTGGTAAGTCAGGAAACAATGTACGTGAAATAGAAAAGGCCTGCGGAGCGGTCATAAAATGCCAAAAGGAATTTGACATCTCAGTCTATCCGCCTCCGTCGGAAAATACCGTGACCATCTATGGGAAAAAGGAAAATAAAAAAAAAGCATTAGAACTGGTTTTAGGGAAGTCCAAAACGGTTATGGATTTCCATGAAGAGGATGGAAAAGAGTCCATCGTCATTATCGTACCTACTAGATCTATCCCAATAATCATCGGACAGAAGGGCTCCAAAATTGCTGCTCTATCTGAAAAGTCAGGCTGCGAAATTAATGTACATAAGGATGATGTTCCAGGGATTAAGGATAAGGCCATCTTTATTAAGTCAAAAAAACTTGGAAAAATAATTGACTGCATAGCCATAATATACGATTTGCTAGAGGACGTTGTCGATAATGGTATTCTTTCCTTGTCTGAGTTTCCTGGGGTTCCCAAAAATGGCCCCTTCATCCCTGCCATGGATGGTGGGGGTGGCGGTGCGGTCCCCGATGCCCCAGGCGGGATGGGCATGGGTGGCGGCCAGATGAACAGCATGACGAATAACTACGTGAGTGCAGGCGGCGGCGGCGGAGGGCCCAACAGCAACTTCCATCAGGGAGGTCAAAACAATTACTTTAACCACGGAGGGAAATATAACATGAAAAAGAACGACAATAGTAACTCCTTCGATCGTATGAACGGAGACGATTGCGACAACTTCTCTGTTCCCAAAGAGAGGAATCTATTGTTGCACAAATACGGAAAGGAAGTGAGCGGCTGTGTGATTCGCTTCGTTCTAGACGTAGAGACCACTGCGTGGATAATCGGCAAGGCAGGGTGTCACATAAAGGAAATAAGAACCATAACAGGAGCGGGTGCAGTAATAGTAGACGCCCCCGACAACATAGAGAATGTGAAAACGTGTGATCGAATCTTAACCCTATCCGGCTCCGCGGAAAGTAAATTTAATGCACTCAAATTAATCGTCAGACAAATGGAAGAAAGGGAGAAAAATATAAACCATCCAATGCGTATGCTAGTCCCAGGAAAGGCAGCTAGCTTCCTAATCGGTAGAAAGGGATCCATTATAAAGTACATAACGGACATGTCCGGTTCTCAAATACAGGTAGCTAAAAATAAAGAAAGTGAAAATGAGAAGCTAGTCCTGATTAGCGGTTCTCCCGATTCTAAGATATTGGCCTCCATTTTAGTCTTGCAAAAATTAGAAGAATACGAAAATCCGGCCATCGTTAGGGAAGGATTGCTCATCCCTCTGAATGATGTCTTCTTGGGCGTGAGCACGAACAAGTATGCCAACGTGAAAAAGGGAAACAACAATATTAGCGGCAACAACAACGTTAGCAGCAACACCAACGGTTACAGCAACAGCGGGATGAGTAATCACAACAAGCCAATGCATAACCACCACCAGACGAATATGAACAACGACAAGTACCATTCTCCTAACCCCATGCCCAACAATCATTACGGAAGGGGTCCTTCCCCCCACGGGATTAACGGCAGCGGCTACGGTGCGGGTGGAAATCACCCCGATCACCATCGCGCGAGCCATCATCATCCGAATGGGTACGACGACGGAAGCCACAGCCCTGTGAATAATAACTACCCTTACGACGACAACAACATGCAGAGTCATTACAGTAGTCACCATGCGGACGTGAATAACCACCCTAACTCAGTTAAGAACCCAAATGATATGAAAGATAAGGTGGAGAAAATGTTCCTCCAAAAATTATACAAATCGTTCCCCATCTCTTCCCTCCCCAAGATTCTATCTGTCACGCAACCGTACACTATCGAACTGAACATGCCCGATGTGTACTTGGAGACATTCGACTCGCAGAATAAAAATGGGAAATCTTTAATTGAAGAAATCATTGAGAAGTCCGGCTGTAACATCTCCATCTGTACCGACTCCAACGACTCCTCTTCTTACACCTTCATCCTCTCCATCACGGGTTCCCCTCTCGCCAACGCCATTGCCATCCTCATGATTCAGGCCAAAATATTTCAGTTCGACTGGTTCTGAACGGGGCCGAATGGCGGTCGAAGTGGTAGTGGCGGTGGTAGTGACCGCGGTGTGCCTCTCTGCTGCGTCTCCCCCTTCGTGAAAACATTCTTTCAATTTTTCAACCACCCAAATGGAAAAAATTCGACGCACGCTGCCGCCGAGTTTCCCTCCCCCCGTCCTTTTGACATTCTACGTTGTCATCGTTTCACCAAATGGTTATCCTTTTTATGATTTTTTTTTCCTCTCTTTTTTTTTTCAAGCCGCAAATTAGCACAACTTATTATATATATACGTGGTTGCACCAGCCCGTAGTTTTCCTCAAAGTTTACAATCCAAAATTGGGCACATGTTGCTTGGGGGAGAAGCCCCTTTGGTTCTTTTTTTTTTCTCTTTCTTTTTCTTATTCTTATCCTTCCTTTTTCTTCTTCTTCCTTTTTCTCACCCTGCCGCGGCATCCGTGCAGAACAACATAGAGAGGAGGCATATCATCTGTGTGCCATCTGCACAGAATTGTCTTTACAGACGGCGTTAAAACAAGTTTGAGCGAAAAAGTTTCTGTTTTTTCCCCAAATGGGGAGGAAAGGGGAAAAAAATATATATGGACATGCGGGATCCACCTGGACCGGAGAAACCCTTTTCAAACGTATCATCGTATGCACACTTCCGTTCACGCGAAATTGTTCCGCTTAAATGCATTTGGGGAAAGAATGCAGCAAAGGGGTAGATGGGTAAGCAAATGGGTGAAAAGAGATTTACGCCTCCCACTTCGCATACACATAGGCGCTCTTCGCTAACGCAAATGCCGCTCCTCACTTTGCTCCGCTTCACTTCAAGTTGAATAAGGCTTTCGTTTTTAAAAAATCTTTACTCTAAAGTAAAAATGAAGAAATAGACAATTGCAGATATATGCAACGGAGTCAGAAATATTTTTCCAACTCGCAGAATATGCCTCGAAAAAGAAATGGGACACCTTTCGCACAAGGCGTGTCACTCGATTTGTGTGTTCTTTCTTTTTCTTCTTTTTCTTTTTCTCTTTTTCTTTTTTTTTTTTTCCACTTTTGAGGATCTACCTGAATGAGGTGCATTTTCTTCTTCGCGGGGCTCCGGTAATCTTTCACCACTGTGATGTTGCTGCGCAGGGGGTGCGGTGGGGGAAGCAGTTCGGTGTTCTACGCACGTTGGAGGTATGCTAATATGTGGAGGGCAATCATTACGGCGGTCGATCATCCGTGGGGCCCCTGCGTAATGGAGAGCGTCTGATCAGTGGCCAGGCAGTACCACGCCTCTTACTAATAATCGAAGCTGGAAATCCCGTGGTTCTCATCGAAGATCCTCAGTTTATCAATCCTGTTCGTCTCCGACGAGTATATGTCGAGCCAGTGCCTCAAATAGGAAATGGCATACGCGTCTCCTTGAAACTGAGGCATGGAAGGGAGCAAAAGGACAGAGAATGAAAATCACATGGTGGGAAAAAATCTACATTACAAAATGGAGAAATAGGAGGGGCATTTGTTTGGTCCTCTGTGCGCCTCGATCCCTTACGTGGCCCATGGCAAATCGCCGCCTGCACTTAATCCAACCAACTAGGTACATGCGCTTGGCGGTTTTGTAGAGCTCCTGGCAGAAGACGTTCCCTTCATCTGCAGAGGGGGGGAAGCGGTGTAGCGCCGTGTTGCGGTGTAGCCTAGTGTGGCGGCGTGGTGCCATGCAGCTTCGATGTCACAGCCGCCCCTCCTCGACTGACCTTCGAAAAACCCATTTATGTCAAACCTGAATTTAGACTTCACTTCGTGAAAATTCGTTATGTCGTAATTCCTTTTCGTTTCTTCTCTCTTCACTGGGGGCGGTTTGTACTTGCGGAAGCCGGTGACCTGTAAAAGGTGGGAAAAGGACACATAGATGGCCACACCGTGGTGAGAGGAAAGAGGGGGCAGATGAAATGCACATGGGAATAGGCATGTGTGTTGACAGTCCTCGCTGCCATTTTCCGATGTTTGAAGTCCTCACAGCTGCTCTCCCCAGCACACACAAACAACACACCTGCTATTGCACGAAAAAATGCCCATTGCTACGCCTCTTTTTGGCCTACCTGCCGGTTTAGTATGTCGAACTGCTTGGCGAATTCAGGGTGGCCCTTCCTTAACTTGGGCTGCCATTTTTCCCCTTTGTCCAGTAGTAAATTTTGTCGAAACAAAAAGTGGGGCTTCTTATGGATGGACAAACTGAGCCTGCTCCTTATCTTCTTCGAAACTGGTGTGGGTATCATTTGGGCGGTGCGCGTGGGGGGGAGGAGAGAAACTAGTCACACGGGTGGAGGTATGGCGGTTTACATGTCTGTTCAGTTGAGCGATTTCTCAAGTGACTCCCCAAGCGACTGCCTAGCCGAGTGCTCACCGACAGATTTCTCGGCCAACTCGTTCGCACGACGGCAGGCGGGGTCTCCCCAAATGTTGTCCCTTGGGAAAACTCACCACCCTCGCAGGTATTCTCCGCAAAGGGGCAAACAGGCTAACGTAGCTTTCCGTTAAGGGGGGGAACAAGTGAAAAATAAAATCCCAAGGGGGTCACATTTTACGTTCATTTTGCTGCAAATGCGTGGAGTTATGTATAAGTTTTTTTTTTTTTTTTATTCCCACATCTCAGTTTTTTTTTTTTCTTTTTTCTTCTTCTTCAATGGTGACGCAAACAGAGGGAAAGAAATTCATGTGAAAGAGTTTAATGTTTTATTTCCCCCCCTAGCATAGCAATAATGTGAAACTAGCTTATTTTTACCGCTCATTTGACGAATCTGCTAACAGGCTAATCGCCCATTCAGCCAGTCGGCTAACCCCTGCAATACCTCGTGCGCCCTTCCATTTGGCGATCACGTCCCGTTCCTAGTGACCCATCGGGATGTAGACTTAAAAGGATTTTCTCATGTGTGTATACCACCGCACAGAGACATTCTTCACTAGTCCACGTTTTTCCTAATTCACGCGATAAGAATAAGAAGTGCCTGTCTTCAGTTTGCAGCATCGAGATTGCCTGTCGGACGAGGAAGTAGAACGTACCGGACTACACAGGATGCAAATAATTACGTAAAAGTGTGCACCTACTAATTTGGTAGCCGCTTTTCCCATCGACGACGCATGAATAATGCTCGTATAGGCCTCTGCGTCCACCCCATAACTACCTACCCAATTGCACAGAAAAATGAACGAGTCAGTTAACAGCCCAATCAAGGCCACATGCAGGGACATGGCCTTAAAAAGCAGCCTGCATTCCTTTACCTTCAGCTTAAAAGATTTCGACATCGCAGGGTTTTTGGTAAGGCGAACCAGCAGCGCCGCAAAGGAGACGCGATACCATGGTGTAGAAACATAGCAAAACGGAACTGGTACGTAGCAGCATCGGCTGTATATCCCGCGTGTCACCACTACACCCCGATTTTCACCCCGCAGGGAGACGGAGCCCACGGCAGCGTGTTCCTGGCCTGCGAAAGGAGGACCAACTTCATTTGCGTCCTCAAGTGCATATCGAAATCGCACCTGGTGAAGTAATAGACCGAAGCGGATCTTTTTGCATGTGCCCTCATCATGTTTGCCCTGTTCTTCTCACTGTTTTGCTTTTTTTTAATTTCCCCTTGTCTCCCCTTTAAGGAGTACACAGGAAGCCCTGCTGAGAAAAGAGATAGAATTACAGGCGCATTTGAAACACCCTCACATAGCATGGTAATGGGAAAAAAAAAAAAAAAGGATACAAAGGTGTTGCAATAATTACAGCATGATGTGTGGTTCAATCTCCCTCCCTCGGCCTCTTCTTTTGTGTGTTCACTTAATCCTGTTGTAGGAATTTTTTGGAGGGATGGTTAGATTTGCCATTTGACTCTCCCCCTATATTTGTGTACCCTTCTGCTTTTTCCCCTTCAGCATGTACACGTGGTTCCACACAAGCAGCCACGTCTTCTTCGTGATGGAGTACTGCTCTAATGGAGACCTCTTCACCTACCTGAATGAACATGGCCCGTTCGCCGAAAAGAAGGTGGCGGAGATGCTATTCGAAATTATATGGGCAATAAGGACATGCCACGATAAAAGAATCGCTCACCTAGATTTGAAGCCGGAGAATGTACTAGTCAATCATGAAGAAAAGTGCAAGCTTGCTGATTTTGGATTATCTGCACATATAGGATCGAAGCATAAAAAGAAGGGAATCTCCCATTACAGAGGGACCCATGATTATTGGTCACCAGAACAATGTGCAAGGCATCAGAAGAAGAAGCAGAATTTTGGAGAATTTGATCAGAAGACAGACATATGGACATTGGGCATATTAGCATTTGAACTTAAATTTGGCAGACCACCATTTGGATCTACGAATGAAGAAAGAGAAACAGTAATCATGAATAGGATTCAGGATTATCACTGGAGTCAATTATTTTGCGAAAAAGTCAAACAGGATTTGATCGACAAATTATCTCCAGAATTTAAAGACTTTCTCAATTTGTGTTTAGATAAGAACCCCAAAAAGAGACCAACAGCAGAATCGCTAATTCAGCATCCGTTCATTTTTCTTCATAACAAGAGTAGGCCTTGCATCAAATCGTATGCTACTCAACCGAGAGGCAAGCAGGGACCTAAGTTGAGTCACAAAGGGTTTAATGAGCAGGACGGCTCCTTCCTCACACCCATATGGTTCCACAATAAGGGCTAAAATCAGGGCAGACAGTGTAAAGCGTGTGTCCCTTTTAGTTGGGAGTCTGATTTGTTTTGTTTCTTTTTTTTTCGTGCGCCGTGAAGCGGCTAATCTTAGAGGCCCCCTTTCCGCAGGGCTAATATTTGGGTCCCTCTTTCGGAGTGGCGACTAGTTTGATCCCCCCTTTCGCCGCTGATTCTTTTTGCCACTTCCTCATAACGATCCCCCCCTGCGCTACTCCACCTGGGGGATATCCGCGGGGATGCTTTCTGCCGACACCAGAGAATACACCTCCGCTCCTAACAATTTTCCAAAAAGGGGAAACTTATTCTTTCCAAAAGGCCAAAACTTATTTTTGCCAAAAGACCGAAATTTATTTTTTCCAAAAAGGCAAACATATTTTTTATTTTAAAAAACGTGGGGTTAAGTCTGTCCGTGAGCGCATCGCACGGGGGGAAACGGCAAAAAAAGGAAAGAGAGAAAAAAAAGAGAATGACTAATGGGCAGGTAAACCTATGAACAAACGCTTAAATGTGAAGAAGTTCAAAACGGGCGAAGAATACGCAGCAACGAAATGGCCGCACCGAAATGGCCGCTGCGAAAAGACGCCGCATGGCAGCTTGACCGCTTCCCCGCTTCATCCGTGTTGGTAGCCCCTCCCCCACCCCTCACATGTTCGCTATCGCATTCTTAAACTCGTCAAAGTGCATCCTGTCGCTGTTGCTTAGGTCCATGATGTTAAAAATGCTCTTGAGGGTTTCCTCACTGAATTCATTTTCAAATTCTTTGGCCGCTTGGATGAAGCTCTTAGTCGATATGTAGCCCCTTCTGGACGTGTCCAGCAAATCGAACAGACTTTTCATTTTCTCCTTCGATTTGAATTTGTTAATATCACAATTGAGCGACATGAGGAAATCCTCTAGACTGATGGTGCTGCCATACATGTGAAACAAATCTAAGAGATCGTCCGAAATGTCCTTGTTGTGATTTGCGTGGAGAAATTTCTGCATATTCTGAATCGTCACACTTTCATTTTTGTTCCTCTTCATTTTGTTGAAAATATACTCCAGGTTATTTATTTCGTCCGCGTTTAGGAAGTTGTAACTGCTTTCGTTTTTTTTCCCCCCTCGAGGCTGTTCCTCCATTTTGGGAAGCGAATCCAGGGGGTAAGCGGCCTCACGAGGGGTAAGCAGCTTTATGTGGGATAAGGCGTCTTGCGTAGGGTAAGCCGCTTTACGAGGGAGTAACTAAGCCCGTTTACTTCCAGCTGCGGCGTTGCGGCACTCAAGCCTTGCTGGGGTAATTCGAACACAGGTAGACCTCTTCCGAAATACCATAGACGTCCTCGAAGTTGAGCTCCTGCTTGGGGAAATGGCAAAATGGTCCATTGGATGGCGATGGGACAGCGGCGAGAAACATCGCCAAGGGGCACACGGGTAATGCGCAGAAAATGTGCTGCAAATGTGCTGCAGATGTGGCGCGTACATGCCGCTCTGACATGCCGCGCCGATGAAACGCGGACACACGCACCTTCGACTCCAGGTACTGGTATATGTGGGGGCGAATGTGCTCGTACGTGTGCTGCAGGGAAAAGTCGAGCAGGCGGTAAACGAGAAACTCCACGGAGAAAATAAGCGAGGGCGTTAAATTCTCCTTCTTGTCTAACTTCTGAATATAGAAGAGGAGCTTCTCTAAAATCTGCATGTCGTCATGCTGGTAAAATTTGAGGGACAAAATGAGACAAGTAGCTGCGTAGAGCTTCCGATTGGACTTATGGACATAGCCCTTAATGACCAGCCTTTCAAAGAAGACCCACGCGCAGCAGATGGTAGAAATGTCGATTTGGGGGATGTTAGAAATCAAATTGAAAAGATCAATTTTTAAATTTCGCAGCTTGGATAATGTTAGCGATTTGTGGATCCAGGGATTTATCTCATTAAACAATTCATTCACTTCTTCTTTCAGCTTTTTGGCCTTCACAAAAGGAATCACAGACACATTATAGCCTTGCAAACACATCACTGTGTGATGCTTTCCTTGCTTAAAACGAGGATTAAACAGACAAAACGCATCATACTCATGCTTACTTGGACTTAGCAAATGTTCATATGATATGCCTTTCTTCCTTTCCTTTTTCTTTCTCCTCATTTCGTTCAAAATTACACTTTTTTTTTTCGCTTCCTCCTCAGCATTCTCCGCACTTTTGCCTTTTCCCCTGTTCGTGAGGAAATCTCTACTGGGTCCCCTCATCATTGGATCTTTGCTATACTTATTCGAATTTTTTTCCATTCCTCTGCGTACATCCTTTCCTGTCCCTGTCGCATCCTCCGCGTGAAAGTTGCTTCCTACCTTTTCGCCCCGCCTAAATTGACTCCTTTCCTCGTCTATCAAGGGGAACTTCCTTCCCTTCCGTCTGTAACGCCAAAATGCCCACTTCTTCAAGAAGCGTAAAACTCCGTTATCCTCCTCTTCTCCATAAAAAGCATACTTCTCTTCCTCCATGTCAAAATTGGGTACCCTCTTCTTAAAAATGGAAATTGAATAATTAATGTTCGCCGAGTCTTGACACACATTTTCGTTGTATGGCTTGTAGGACAGACACATGGTGTGTGTGTTCTGGTAGCACAGAAGGATTTTCGACGCGCAATGATTCATGTTGGAGAAGCAGTGGTTGTTTCTGTACGCGTCCGCTTCCGCGTTGTGGTGACCTCGGTGTCGGCCGCTCCGGTGTGGAGCACTTCGGTTTGGACTGTTCCCATTTGTACCCCTCCAATTTGGGTCGTTCCCATTTGTACCGCTCCTATTTGCGCTCTTCCCCGTGGTGCTCCCCTCCTTGCTGCTGTCCTTGTGACACACGGCCCTGTTACTCTGGTTGTTCAGGTAAAAGTCGATGTGCCTCTCCTTCCTCGGGCCCTCCTCCCCGCCATCGTTCTTCTCCTCTGAGCTAGACTCCTCACTGCTGCTCACATCGAAAATGCTGTTCTTTGTCTCAACGACTGTGTTTAGAAAGGTCTTCGCATCTTTAAAGAAATCGTCGTATACGGTGAAGTACTTCGGTTCCTTCATTTGGAGAAGGGAGGGACAAAAGGAGGGAGTCCCCAGACGGGTAAGACCCCAAACGAGTGAACCACCAAATGGGTAAACACACCAGTGCAACGGAGAGAAAGGCCTCACTGATGCGCCCTAATCTGTATGCTGATCAAGCCACCCTCTTCATCGCCTAAGCGGGTCCTTCCCCCTGACAGGTTACTCTCCTCATATCATCCGCTTCCCACGGAAAGAGAACTCATACACGCAAAAAGAAGAAAAAAAAAAAAAAAAAAAAAAAAAAGACCCACCAACCGAATGTGCGCCCTTCCAGTGAACCAATCAAAGTCCCAAACGAGGCGCTCCCAACATGGGCAGCAAGTCCAAAAGAAAGGGAAAAAGGAAAAACAAAATCGCGTAATGCCCACAAGCTGATGACCTAGCTATATTTGAACCCCGTTCAGTCGCCACAATCAAAATTGCTGACTAAAAAATGTTGATCGAGGGAGAGAGGGGGAATAGGAACACCCCCAAAGGTGTCTTATTTTTGAGGCAATATTTGCCGCGTGCTTTACTGTTTGGGCTATTGTTACCTTGCGCGATCGCGTGTGGTGGTTGGGGGAGTTAGTCACACAGAGAAGAGGCCAAAACGGAGCAGGCGGAATGGACCAACAAAGTGGAACGGCCGAGACCCCCCTTGAAATCCCTAACATGAGAACACTTCCAAATAGCAGCGTAGGAAGGCCTCTTCGCCCAATGCAGTCTGTATTTTCCCCATTGCTAACCTGTTAACCTTTTTTTTTAGTGTTCCCTTTTTTTGGGTAATTTGTTGAGACCCCCTAGGCCACAGGTAACATTGCAGCAGGGGGGAAGGCACCAAGTGCCCCAGAGGAGCGGCATAAAGAGGATTTCGCGGGATGAGAAGAATTTCGCGACGATACAACCTATGTGCAACCGCGTGAACATGGAAGCTCCGAAAAAATCGAGAGCGATTGCCCCCAGACCGCGGCTGAAGTAGACCCACAGATAGGCCTCCAAATGGGCATTCGCTAAGACACAGAAAAAATGGCGACAAAAAGATGGCGGCAGAAAGATGGCGGCAGAAAGATAGCAGCAAAAAAATAGCGGCAGAAAAATAGTGGCAGAAAAATAGCGCCCAAATAATTGCGGCAAAAAAATGGCATCCCCAAATCAGCAAGAAAAAACTTCCGCAATCTCTCCAACCACACGCTGTAAATCTTCTTTGCTTGCTATTTTCGCAAAATGCAATTTATGCTTCTCCTTTCCTTTGCAGCCGAACTCCAGCTTTATCATTTGCGTCACTTGGTCGTACTTGGCAGCGTACGCCTCATCGGGCATGGCATCATTCACCAAAGTGTGCAAATAAATATCATCAAACGAGAGGCAGATTATGCCACCAATTGTGAAACCCTTGAGAAAAGCAAACTGCTCGAAATAATCACTCTTGCTGTATTTGTTCTGAACAATGGGGAACCCCGTCACTAATACGTTTCTGTCTGCCCGTTTTATTTGACTAAGCAGGGAAGCAAAAGCTCTGTCGACGATACACTTCTCGTCACTGTGGAGGTTGCGATTCCCATGGCTGTGGCGCCCACCGCTCACGTCGCCCTTCACCTGCTCCTCCGCCTCAAAACGAGCCACCCCCTGTCTTATCCCCTCCTTCACCATTTCCTCACGCACCAGCTCCGCCATATTTATGGAGGAAAAATTTTTTAAATGAAAACATAGCAGAGATGATAAAAGGAGTTGAAGCTTCTCGTTTTGAGGAAGGAACAGGATAATGATTTTGGGGCAGAAGAAACTGTCCGCATTTCGCGGCATGTCTTTGTTCACATAAATGGTGGTCACTTCGACGTTAGCGTGTTTCTTGGACATAAGGTCTCGCAGGTCTCTCGCCGCTTGGTTATACCTGCTCAGCCTGTCCGCGCGCTTTGGCCTGCCCCTCGGTTTTCCCCCGCTGTTCGGCTCTTCCTCATCGGCCTTGACAACCTCTTTACTATCGCTTCCTTCCTCGTTATTATCGCTGCCTACCCTGTCATTATCGCTGCCTACCCTGTCATTATCGCTTCCTGCCTCGTCCCCTTCGCCCCTCATCTCCGCCCCCTCGAGGGAAGACCCCACAGCATTGCTAGCCCCAGGCCAACGGACTCCAAACACTCGGTCGTCATTTAGCACCGCGGAAGTATTCGCTCCATGGACCCCACTGGCGTCATCCCCGAACAAGTCATCCCCATGCACGCTGTGAACAAGCTGAATGATTTTCTTAAAATTTGTGAAGCGCCCAAATGTATCGACACAACTGTCATTCTCACCAGCCGTCCATAATGGCACATCACAGAAGACAATATTTCCAAATAGATATTTACTTGAATGTCTCACAACCCCCTCCAAGTATGTTACATAAATTTCTCTTATCGTTTTCTCCTTCTCTTCTTTTATCCTCTCAGCTAGCTTTTTTACATATCCTTCCGACCTCTCTTCAATGATGGAAGGTAACTTCCTTAACAGGTCTTCATAAAATAAACAGTGAAATGAGTCCCCGTTGGAGTGTTCTCCAACTTTCCTTTTTATAAACTCCCTCACATCATAGTTGTCTGGGGCGTGGTAGCAGATCAGGTTGGGTCTAATTCGGTCCTCGACTTTTTTCAAAATTTTCTTCTTTTCTTCGTCCTCCAGTTGGTCACCCTCTTTGTCGCCTTCTGCTGGGTAGTCACTGGGGCAAGACTTCTCCCCTGAGGAGTGTCCAATAGTTGTATCCTTCTCATCCCCTTCACCACCACCATTGTTGATCGCATCCTGGACCGCTCCCCCCACTGAACCCACCTCCACTGTTAGGAGACTCCCCCTGCTGGCGAAGAAGAGGACCGTGCCCGCCAGGGGGGATGCTTTCGCGGATGCGGCGTCGAAGAGGTCAAGTGGGGGGAGTAGGTCAGCCGGGCTGGACTTCTCAATCGTCTCATTCGTGGTGGACTTCTCAATCGTCTCAATCGTGGTGGACTTCTCACCCCTGTCAAATCCGCTCCCCTCGGGAGAAGCCCCTCCGTCCGGTACAACCAATATGCACAGCTTGATGTCGAAAAAGAGTTCCACCTTTCGGAAGTCCTCTGCCCCCAAGTCGCTAGGAAAGCCCCCAAATACAAAATAGCTCGCATTCAACCTAGACACAAAGTTGTTCATTTTTCTTACTATTTGGTTTACTCTCTCGTGATTTCTGCTATTCGGGTTATTTTCGTCAAACAAGTCATCAATGAGACGCTGCATAGAATTGGGATAATCCCTGGATGCTTCCCCCTCACTCATAAAGTTCAAGTCACAGAAGACAACGCCAGGGTATTCATACTGCAGGTATAGGCCAATAAAATCGACACTCTTCAAAGTTAGGTTAGAAATTAAAATGACTCTCCTCTTTGCTACACTTATCAGATCAAACAGATGGTACACACCTGAAGACAACTTCTCTGCCTTATTGTTAACATCAAATTGGTACACTGTCACCTCTTTACTCATTTGGGCACCTTCCCCTATGACGAAAGAATCTTCCACCTTGTAGTGATCAGATTTTTTGTTTTTTTTCCCATTTCTGTTACTCCCCAGTTGAAGCAACCCCTGCTGAGTCTCCTTCCACTCCAAATGAACCGCATTCTCACCCACTCTGGAGTTGAAATGAAACACCACCACCTTTGCATTTGTCTTCCCTTTTAGCACTTCCATCTGCTGAATAGTAAGCGGAAAATTACACAAGACAAATCTTCGGTAATCTTTATCTTTTAGAGAGCTCAATCTTTCTATTAGGAAGGAGAGTAGCCTGTCCGAGGGAGCAGAAGAGTAGTCCACTCCGTCCTCACATGTCTCTCCCTGTTTCTTCCTCCTCTCCTCGTTAAACAGCTTAACATGGTCAACGAAAAGGTAATTGTAACACTCTACCAAAAAATGAATTTGACTCTTCAGGTGAGTGAAGTTTACTCCCAAAAGGAGCATTATCTCTATTTCCAAATTTTGAACAAAGTTGTCAAAGAAATTTTTCCCCTTTCGGTAGATGAGTATTTTCCCCTTCTTTAGGAAGTGCTCTATGAGGTGCTTTCCGCCTCCATGCAGGAGGGAGAGGAACGAGTCCAGTCGCGCACTTCTCCCTTCACCGGGTTGGACTTTTCCGCCCTCCTCTTCACAGTGTTCCTCTTTACCGCGTTCCCCTTGGCCGCCTTCCCTCTCACCACTGCCCATATCGTCGCTTTCCACATTTGCCTCCCCCTTCACAACCAGAAAGCAGAACGCTGTGGGGATTATATCCTCCCGCGTCAAGTAAACCAAATCGATCACGCCGTAAAAACCACTCAGCACGTAGCTTCTGTAGGACCTATTCTTGTCCAGATTCTCCTTCAGAATTCGCCTTACCAAATCTACCGTCAACATCTTGTACTTCCTTTTCGTGTATTCTATTTTTTTCCCAAGCAAGGATTTCTTCTTCTCCTCTTTCATGCACAGCTCGCTAAAACTTAAGTTGATGTAACCTAGTTTCTCCAAATGCTTTATAATTTCTAACTTGGCCCCATCATTATCTCCGCTAATCGGGGTGTTCTTTTCCCCGTCGTGAATGTCCGGTATGATGAAAATTTTCTTGTTTCCCTTGGTTGCTTTATGCAAAATGCTTCTTTCGTTAGGATCTCCCCGTTTGGTTCCTTCACCAGCATTGTCACGGCCGCTACCTAAGGGACTACTACTTTGTTTAACTTTCTCCTCGTCCCCTGCGTCAGATACTCCAGATTTGTCCTTCCTCCCCCAAAGTGGGTGCAGATTTCCCATTTTTTTCTCGACCTCTTCCTTCTTCTTTATGTCCCCCATTATTTCTCCCTTTTTCTGCTTAAGCCACTCGTTGAGCCACTCTATGGCTTCCTCTTCACTTGGTCTGGACTCACACATTTTGGTAAAGCATTCCAGAAGGACCTCCCTCAATTTGACATTTTCCTCTTCCTTCTGATAAGAAGTAACATTTTTGCGATACAAAAAATTCTTTACCATGTCGACTGTTATCGATTCGTTGTATTTTTCGTAGAGGAAGTACTGTCTAATGAGGCTGTTCATTTTTTTCTTATCCTTCACGAATATAATGTCATTCTCTTGAGAGCTGAACATGCTTCTGATGCTGTTTGGCCTCTTCAATTTGGATTCCTTGGTGCTCCTCCCTCCCATTAGATAGTGCAGACAGGTGATACAGTTCACTCTGGAAAGGGTCATGATTACGTACTGCATCTGTGGCCCTACACTGGGGACTACCATTCCGGGTTCTTCAAACATGTTTCTCAAACTATTCTCGTCGACCGATATTATTTTCTCTTCCAACACGTTGAATCCGTAATCATGCAGATAATCTCGCAGATCGTTTAAACCCTCTCCACTTAGTGCGCTTCTTCTTATTAGCAGAATTCCATTTTCGCTGCAAAAATTTTCTTCACCAAAAAATAAGTTTATCTCTCTGTCTATGTTGTCCTCACTGGGAGTGTGCTGCATCGGGAAAAAAAAAAAAATAAACAAAATAAAAATATGAATATTGGTCCGTGTGGAGAGCAACACTTTCTCCCATATCGGGGTGCATTTAAACCCATAGACTTCTCTCTTTCCCCTTTTGTCCTCGACCCACCCCAACCCCATACCACAGCATTCCTCATCGCGCAAGTTCCATACTTCTTCTTCAAACACGCACTGGGCATGTCTTCAAAGGGAACCGTAGAAGAGCAGGGGCAACACAAAATCTTCGCCAGCCTTAGGCAGTTCTTCCCCTCAACAATTAGGCAGACTGAAAGGGGAAGGAAAAGCACATATGAGAGATGCACTCGGGGGGTGCAATCACGCATGCATCTTTTCACGCACGTCCATCTGTTGCAGAATCGCCGAACTTTTATTTTTCTCCCCTCTGTCCAACCTATTCCCTTCGGAGAGGTCATAAATTCTATCAGGGCACCGTAGTAGGGCTATTGGGAAGGAAAGAAAAAAAAAATACACAAATATATAAGTGCAGAAATACACAAGTGCAGAAATACACACGTGGCACAAATAACCATGCCGCGAGGCGCTAACGTGCCGATAGGCCACCCTTCTACCAGGCGTAGCTGCGTACCTTCCCAGCCGACCCCTCGTACAGCCTGCTCGCCCGCTCCGCAGATAAGATGCCCCTCTTCACGGCGACGATCAACAAACCAAAATTCAAAATATCGTTAACTATGTCCCCTATCTTGTTCTGATCTATCACGTCCGGTTTTAATATTATCAAAGTTCTTTCCAAAAAATTGTGGTCCCGGGGGGGGAAGAAGTAATTCAGGTCTCTACTAAAATACCAGTCATTTTTGCTAAAGTAGAATGGGACGTTCCTGCACTTTAAGTTACACTGGTATTCTAGGCTGTCAGAGAAGGGGTCCAAAAGGGAGGAAACAAAAAAAAAAAATAAATAAATAAAAATCAACAAAATTAACAAAATCAACCAAATCAACAAAAAGAAGAGACGCATGGTCTGGAGCGGTGTCAAGTGGCCACACCTAAACATGTCCATGCATGTACATGCACGTGTCTATGGACACACCCCATGCTCATGCGCGTATGTATAACCATTCGAAGTATTTTTCATCCTTTATCAAGATAGACGTGCTCTTAACTAGAGAATTCAACTTTTCCGCTGTGTTGCCTTCTATGTGCTCTACCAAACAAATGACTGACAGCCCGCTTTCCACGTACGCGTAAAACTCTCCTATACTGCTGTACTGCTCAGGCTTCTCGTTTAATATTTCTTTTATTTCATTCTTCGTGGGGACGAAAAAGGGGGGGAAAAATTTAGGGAAAAAAGATGACAAAATGGTAAAAGTGAAAAATGACAAAATGGCAAAACGAAAAAATGAATTGCAGTCAAATGGGGCCCCCCAAACAAGTGCCGTGCCATCTGTTTAATACTCAGAACGAACGCCAAAGCTGCGCCTGTTCTTGTGTCCATTATCGTTAGTAGTATCTCCCAGTATGCCTCCATCTCGTGTCCCCAACTGTGGGGCAACTTGTGCGTACTAGTCTCTCTATCTTTGGTTCCCTTTGCGCATTTTGTCCATTCAATGCCTTCCACTGCCTAACGCATGCCTACGCGCTCAAGAGCGATGATTAACTGTTTCGCGGTTGTTTACTTCTGTCAAGTGCACTTTCTTCCTTTTTAAAATGATGAAGTTTTTTTCTTCTAGTTTTTCTAGGACCTCTTCATCCTGTGTCGGCGCGAACGATGGGTGTGTTTGTGTGATCATCTGCGTATGTGCAGATGTACATATGCATGTCCACACGGGGGATAATTCGCATGAAACGTGCACACGGATCTGCTGCTAACACATCCATTTTTTTCCACGCGTCCCTCATTGCATAAACTGCGCCAGTTCGTCTCATAATGGCTTCTCCCAGTTGTTACTTTAAAATTGTTGGTAACGTCCGGCAATATGATAAAAATACATCTTTCGTCTTTCATCATGATTCAGCGCGAGTACTGACAGAAGAGGAGAAATACGTGTGAAGGTACTGTCATTACACCAGGCATACTACACAAAGAAAGGTGTGTTCTCCTTTTGAATAATCTTGCTTTAATGCAATTCCTTCTGATGCTCATTCGTTTAAGCAAAAGGATTATAAATAAATGAATAAGGCCATTTAAATTTGCTCCTTTTTTTTTTTTTTTAGGATATGAAAAAAGGGTTTAAAGGCATTTTAGACATTCCCCGGAATTTTTTTTTACCTACAAAACGTTTCAACAAATGATGCGGAGAACCTTACCTGCGTGGGAAAAATAAATAAAAATAAAATAAAAAGTGCAATCTATATTTAAAAGGAAAAGGCTCATCCATCTTCGAGTGTGATGAACAGCGATGCTTTCCGCATGGAAATCTTGTTTCCCCAATTTGTTAAAAAATTATGCATTAAAGAAAAAAAAAATGAAGGAAGACATTTTTTGTTTTCCCCTGCGTTTGGCCCATTTTTGCAGAAACATCTGTTAAAAGCGGAGTTCCTTTTAGGTGCGGGTATCAAATGGGTATTTTCCAGGCTTTTCATCCATAGGGTATGTATGTCATTTTTCACTATGCTCAATGCCCATCACTCGTTAGCTGTAGCGTGGCCTCATGCGATGTCCATGCCGATTTCACAGTAACGTAATTGCCAATTGCGGGGTGCCTCTTAAAAAGGCCCATACCGTTACACCAGGCAAAATGGATAAGCAGGTACAGAAACATAGACAGAAGCATACGGACATGGATACACACATACACATAGGTACATTACGGCACTTCAGTATCCCCCTAGCAATTCTCACTTTTTAAACAAATTGTACTCGGCTGTGCACGTGTTAGCTGGTCTACTCAACATCCATTGCAGCGACGCCATGGTCAACCTCTCTGCTAGGTTGGCAAAGTCGCAAACTCGTCGCTCTCATGTCTTCACACCATTTTGAAGCATTCTTAAAAAATAAAAGAAATAATTTCACCCAAAAGCTCTCATTTTGGAAACATCTCCAATTATTGGCCATTTTAACAAATGCGCAATGGTGTATGTGTTCCCCACTTTTGCATTTCGCCTGGTATCGATCGAAGAGAAAAATTACAAATAAGAAGGAAAAGGCTGGCAATAC